GACGAGACGCCGCGCAAGGTGGGGAAGGGCTTTGTCGAGGACGCGCGGAGGAGCACGCGATGACCGCGCGTTCTTCGAACAACCGCAAACGAAAAGCAGAGGCAGAGACGGAGCCTCTGAAATGCTGCGTGCCAGTATGCGGGGCTCCTTTTGTTTGGTAAATTTGGCATTTGGGCCACAACCAAGCGAAGGAGCACTGGGCGAAGAAAGGGATCGAAGTTGTGCGTGGGGCACGTGGCAAGCAGGGCTGCACCGCGAATGGCGCGGTCGATGCGGCGAAGCGATTGGAGAGGGCCCTGACTCGCGCGGCGCGCGAAGGACAATGCCCCCCCCCCAGGATTACAGCACCCGTCGGCCAGAGTATGGGCATGTTTCGCGAAAGACGAATATTGCGTGCCAGCTCTGCGTTGGTTCCGGGCTCGCGGCGCGAAATTGGGCAGCGCGCCGACGCCTGGGCGCGCGCGCGCGAGGAAGCTGCCGAACTCCGCGCATGCGGACAAAGAACACTTTTGCGAGAGCGAAGAATGACGGCGAGTTGGCATGCAACGCGCGGGCGCGACCCGCGTAGCGTTTGACGCAGGAGGTCCACGGTCGTGGTCTGCAACTGTTGACGGGGAAAACTTGCGCAAAGACGAGAACGAGGAGGATGCTGAATCAGTTTGCATAAGCTGTGATGGGGATGGGGATGGCCACGGCGACGATGGCGACGATGACGATGATGTCGAAACGCAGAGGGGGAGGAGGAGGAGGAGGAAGAGGAGGGCGACGAAGAGGACTGCGAGCAGCCGTTGGGGACGAGTGGAAGGCCCCATCGTTGCGACGACCGCGGCGCGTCTCGACTTGGCAGCCATGTCATTCCATTATTCGGAAAGAAGGCGGTGAACGCTTTGAGTCAATGGTGATGTTTACTCTCATGGTTGACAGGCTGCTTTGTTTGAGTGTCATCGCAGAATTTATTAGGAGCGTGCGTCGTGCAATTATTTGGGAGACGGCTCGGGGGCCGACTTCCCGGTGGCGCGGGTGATCTTTACCCGCGCGTCGCGCAATAATGAGGCATAGCCAACTGGCGTGATTTCAATATCGTGTCAGGTGCCTATGGACTGAAGATCGCTGCGCTGATTGCAGATCCTTTTCGACCACCGATGGATTGTGTCGTAGATGCGAAGTTGTTAAGCAGACCCCGCCTCTCAGGTTCTGGCTGCGCCAGTGCACCGCGGAGGTGCCCGGCCACGTCGTTGGCCAGACCGCTCGTTTCCGTGAGTCCGTTGAGAATGACAGCACCTGTCTTGTCATGGGCTGCGGTGGCTTATGCCTTTCCCGATTTTTCCTCCGACATCGCCTTCCTAAAGATTTCACCTTGACCAGGGGCCGGTGCAACACGGAAGATCGGGCATGCGAAGTGATGCGGGGGATCGATGGATCAAGGGGTGAACATGGTTTATATTGGAGGTGCACGAAGTGCTTGATGGTGGCCTGGCCTCCTCGCCCCCACGACCAAGCAGAGCCCGCCCCGAGAAAAGTGTGCGTTTCCTCAGCCATTGGAATTTTTTGAACAGGATATTGCGGCACGTTCTTGGTGGTAGTCAAACGTTTTTGTCGATCCTTGAGCTCACTGAATTATCCCGGCAAAGCAACCTTACAGCGATGTGTAGGAGCATATCTGGAAGCATTCCCCTTAAGATTCAGATAAGAAGCCAGTTGTAGAATTATGCTGTTCTCGCAGTCGTAGTCGCATTCGCGATGACAGTCGCAGTGGTAACGGCAGTCGCAGTCACAGCCTCAGCCTCAGCCTGCCTCACCTTCAGTCTGCCTCAGCCTCAGCCTCAGCCTGCTTCAGCCTCAGCCTCAGTCTGCCTTCAGCCTCGGCCTCAGCCTCCGCCTGCCTCAGCCTCACCCTGCCTCAGCCTCTGCCTCAGCCTCAGCCTGCCTCAGCATCAGCCTGCCTCAGCCTCAGCCTCAGCCTGCCTCAGCCTCAGCCTCAGCCTGCTTCGGCCTCAGCCTCAGTCTGCCGTCGGCCTCGGCCTCAGCCTCAGGCTGCCTCAGCCTCAGCCTGCAGCCTCAGCCTCAGCCTCAGCCTGCCTCAGCCTCAGCCTCTAATTCTGCCGTCGGCCCCGGCCTCAGCCTCAGGCTGCCTCAGCCTCAGCCTGCATCAGGCTCAGCCTCACCAGCCTCAGCCTCAGCCTGCCTCAGCATCAGCCTGCGTCAGCCTCAGCCTCAGGCTGCCTCAGCCTCAGCCTGCTTCAGCCTCAGCCTCAGTCTGCCTTCAGCCTCGGCCTCAGCCTCAGCCTGCCTCAGCCTCAGCCTGCATCGGCATCGGCCTCAGCCTCAGCCTGCCTCAGCATCAGCCTGCCTCAGCCTCAGCCTCAGCCTGCCTCAGCCTCAGCCTCAGCCTCAGCCTGCTTCAGCCTCTGCCTCAGTCTGCCATCAGCCTCGGCCTCAGCCTCAGCCTGCCTCAGCCTCAGCCTGCATCAGCCTCTGCCTCAGCATCAGCCTGCCTCAGCCTCAGCCTCAGCCTGCCTCAGCCTCAGCCTCAGCCCGCTTCAGCCTCAGCCTCAGTATGCCTTCATCCTCGGCCTCAGCCTCAGCCTGCCTCAGCCTCAGCCTGCATCAGCCTCAGCCTCAGCCTCAGCCTGTTTCAGCATCAGCCTGCCTCAGCCTCAGCCTCAGCCTGCCTCAGCCTCAGCCTCAGCCTGCTTCAGCCTCAGCCTCAGTCTGCCTTCAGCCTCGGCCTCAGCTTCAGCCTGCCTCAGCCTCAGCCTGCCAGCCTCAGCCTCAGCCTCAGCCTCAGCCAGCCTGCCTCAGCCTCAGCCTCAGCCTGCCTCCTCAGCCTCAGCCTCAGCCTGCTTCAGCTTCAGCCTCAGTCTGCCTTCAGCCTCGGCCTCAGCCTCAGCCTGCCTCAGCCTCAGCCTGCCTCAGCCTCAGCCTCAGCCTGCCTCAGCCTGCAGCCTCAGCCTCAGCCTGCCTCAGCCTCAGTCTCCTTCAGCCTCGGCCTCAGCCTCAGCCTGCCTCAGCCTCAGCCTGCAGCCTCAGCATCAGCCTGCCTCAGCATTCAAAATGTGGCCAGGGAGTGGAGTTCTGGGAACTTGAAGAACACGAAGTGGCCTACAGTTGGCTCCGGGCATTCAAAATGTGGCCCAGGAATGGTGTTCTGGGAACACGAAGAACACGAAGTGGCCTACAGTTGGCTCCGGGCATTCAAAATGTGGCCCGGGAATGGTGTTCTGGGAACACGAAGAACACGAAGTGGCCTACAGTTGGCGCTGGGCATTCAAAATGTGGCCCGGGAATGGTGTTCAGGGAACACGAAGAACACGAAGTGGCCTACAGTTGGCTCCGGGCATTCAAAATCATGCCCAGGAACGGAGTTCTGGGAACTCGAAGACCACGAAGTGCGTTACTGTTTGCTTAAAACGAGTTCCCCGGCATCCCCCCGGCATCCTCCCCCGGATCGCGCCCAGACCCCCTCTGGGGCGTCATGATGCTCTCTTTTGACCCTACTAGAAACCTATCAGTCTTCGCTGTTCGGTAACAAAACATCCGCGCTGAAATTGCTGGGTTCGTGCGCGCACTGTTCTTCCCCATTGGCCAGGCGCCGTCAAGCTGCTATGGAACAAGGTTCACCCCGCCCAAGATCCGCTTGATACCCCGCGCTTGAAACTTGGGTTATGTGCGTTTCAATCGTGCTGCTGCCTACGATGGTTTGAAGGAGTTGAATGAAGCCCACGCCACGCCTGCTCGCATGTCCAAGCTCGCACATGATGCGCACGTCTTGCATCCCAGGTTGTTCGTCGGCTGCACGCCATCGAGACAAGTTTCCCCCCCCGCCCCCCCTTCCCCCATGTCGACCTGCCTACGCGACGCAAGGGAAGGGGTGGCCGCACGGCGGACGTCCACTATATCCGTTTGACTATCAACGGGCATGATTTTCTGATGAATTTTGTTGTTTCGTTTTGCACTCGTTGCGCCCCCTCTTGTGTTCCAGGCGTGGTCCGTTTTCTGTTATCCGGCCCTGTATGTGCCATCCGAGGGATGGCGCAGGACATTTTGTCATTCGCCTCTTTGATGATGACCTCCGCCCTGGGCGTGCGGACCCTCCAGTCGCGGTTGGGGGCGGTTGTGGACACCCTAAGGCTGTTGAGTGCCACCCCTCCCACACAGTGAAGGCCGTAGGGGTATTATGTGTTGTGGCGTGTGCGGGTTTATCTGCGCTGAAGACGCCCGCGAGTTTCTCGTGGCGGGTAAATGTGCCATATTATGTATTCGTCGCGGTGTACTTCTCAAGTCGGAATGAACCTCCGAGGATTCTGGCTTGATGGGTGCAATTCGAGCACGCAAGCACATGAGCGGCACGAGCTTGATGGGCGCAATAATATTAACCTTCATTACCACACAACGATAATTCTGGTACGAAAAAATAAGAGGAGTACGAGTGATCGCAATAGTAAGAATAAGAGTACCATGAATAGTGATAGTCGCAGTGTAAGTTGTAGTACTAATAGCAATACTACGAATGCGAATCATGATAGCCATCGCGATGCGATCAGCAACGGTAAGCGGTAAACATGCGATCAGCACTATGAGCAGCAATCTTGGCGCGAGAATTAACAATAGCAAACATTGGGCTAATAACGCTGTTCGTTATATGTGTACGGATGTTACGAGTAATGAAACCATTTGTAGTAATGGGTATACGGTTAATGGTAACCACTGCTATTTAAACTAATAGTATCAATAATAATACGAATAATAGTAATAAGCAGTCTAGTAATGATGAACATCGTACAGTTAATACTACGAATGATAGTAGTTCCATGCCCTCACCTTCCTGCCCCCCCCATCCGCCCCCGATGCCCCGCAGGGGTCTTTGGATGCCGCCAGGGGCAATCGAAACCAAACGCCCAAACTGCTTCGATCCTCCTTGTTCGATCCTCTTGACCCATGGAAGCTGGGGGGAGAGGCGTGGGGATTGGGCCCCCAGCTTGGGTTCCCCAGCCCCAGAGGCGTGCATCTTCTACGAGTCGAAAGTCACCGAGGAGTGGCTGCACCTCTGCAGGCGCCCTCTCGGCCCTCGTCCTCCTCCTCTTCGCCCTCCTCTTCCTCCTCCGCCTGTGGCGCTGTTCCGCCCTGGCGTGCGCCCTACCGCGAGGGAATTGTTGTGGGGCCCTCGCCCCTGGCGGTGGCAGAGGTGGCTCGGGAGCGCCACCTGCCGGGCGAGGCGCCGATGCACGTGGCCCGGGGTGCTTCGGCGCCGGCTCGGCACTTCCACTTTGGGCTGGCCGCCTTCCCCTCAGAGCCCCCTCTCTCGCGCCTGGAGCACAAGCACGAGGGACGTGTGTTCGTTGCGTGTTCAGCCTCTGGGTGCTTGCACCAGTCTCTCGAGCAGTCCGTTAAGAATCAGCCGAGCAAGAGGTCGTGATACTGAGCCGTACTGAGCAAGAGGCCGTGAGGTTGTCCGCCTTCCTTCAGACCCCCTCGCGCGTCTGGAGGACGAGCACGACGGAAGTTGTTTGTTGGGTTTTCGGCCTCTGGGTGCTTGCACCAGTCGCTCGGACGGTCCGTTAAAAGTCCGCCGATCAAGAGGTCATGAGATTGAGCCGTATGGAGCAAGAGGTCGTGCTACTGAGCCGTGCCAAGATTTCTTGGTTGCCCCTCATGTCCCACTGCGTTCACGCGGGCTATACAGAGACGGGGGCGGCTAGACACTCTGGAAGTCTTGGGACGCATTTTGAGCCGATCCTATCACGTCGGGCGAAGAGAACTATACACATGCACCGATCCTGGCAAGGCCCATCCTTGGCCCAGGATCGGTGCATATACCTTCCTGGCCACGGTAGAGGGCGTATGCACCGATCCTGAGCTCAGGCTGTGCCTGGCCAGAATCGGTGTATGTGCATAGTTCTCTTTCCTCTATCGCGACATTATTCTCGTCCTAAGACAGACTCCGCACAGACAGCCGGTTTCGGGGGAAGAGGTCGGGACCTCCGGGGGGCCCACGCTGCGCAGAAGACATGACGTCGGAGGCCTTAGGACATCGAGGATCGAATATGTAAGTTGTTCTGCGGTTCTGACCGTGCTTCGACCTCCATAAACAAGGGCTCCCACGAGGGCGCGAAGTCATTCGCGCTTCGCGGTCCTCATTCCTTCTCCCCGTCCTCCTCGTTCTCCTTTTCTCCCTTTGGGGGGGCGGCGCGAGTGCGCGAAGTTATTCGCACTTCGCAGAGCGCGAAGCGCGAAGTTGGGAGCCCTAGAAAAAAGGATCGAGATCTCTGGGGTCTGTAGATTGAACGAATCATCCGTCCGCTCTGCCATTTCTTCTATCCCTCGGCATCCTTTTGTCCGTTGCCGCCTGCCTGGCTTTGGCGGGGCGCGCGGTGGGAGCATCGCTTCTCGCGCTGAGGGAGAAGGGGCGGCGTACAACGGTGACATCTGCACGGGTCGGCTTCTTTCGGCAGCGCAGCCAGATTGGACACGCAGTTCACATCGCCATCGGCACGGGCGGCTTCTTCTGCCAGGCCAAGCACCGCTCACCTGGAGTGTCGTGGTGTTCCACCTTCTTGGCGTTGGAGATGCACCTTGTTGTCACCATCGTGGCGGATCGTGGCCATCGGCAGAGTTCGGGGCGGAGTGAGGTCATGATGTGGTGGCTCGGCTGGCCCCTCTGACCTAGTCCCGAGGATCCGCGCATCCACGACTGCTGCTACGAGGCCGTGTGCGAGGCCACCGAGATTGCTTCCTATGTGTCGATATAGGATCACCGCCTCGGTGCAGGATGCCTGTCCTTGCCCTGTCCCGCGTGCAGTCAACCTGCTTGCAGGTGCTGAGTTGTGTTAGTGCATATTCGGTGGCGGGCCCACCGTCGCCGAGGTCGTGGACATGTGAATGCAGTCGACGCAGACGTTTCTTGACAACTGGAGCGGCAAGTTCTGTTTGTCAGGATGCGGGCCCGTTGAACAAACCACGACGGCTGCAGTGTGAATAGCGCGTGCTTTCTTGGGGGATGTTGTCTGCTCCAGTTGGTAGCGCATCTGTTAGGCAGTATGCCGTCTATTCCGAATGGGGGGCGCTGTCTCTTGCAGCGCATGGCCTCTTGTCCGATTGAGGCCCACATGCTTGGCAACACGCGGGCTACTGCGATTCGGAACCTCTTTCTAAGGAACAACTGCGTCTGTTTCGGAACTGCGTCTGTTTCGGTTTGCCGCGCAGTGGTCATGAGCAGTATGGCGTCCAATTCCGCGGTCGGCAGTAGCGCCGTCACACCAGGGACCTTGTCGATATTGGAGAGGCCTTACGGCCGGTGCCGCCGACCTTGGACGACGACGACGATGACGACAGCGACGACAGCGGCCACGGCGACGACGACGAGCGCTCTCGGGGGCCTCCTGGGGGTAGTTTGGGGGCATCTTTGGAGGCTCTTTGGGGCCTCTTGGGAGCCTCGTGGGGGCCTCTTGGAGCTTTCTGGGGGGCCGCTTGGGGCGTCTTGGGGGGCTTCTTGGGGGCCTCCAAGGGCCTCCGGGGAGCCTCTCAGGCCAAGGGCTCGAAATCTCCGTCCGGGTCCCCCGTCTGGGCTCCCCTTTGGAGCCGTTTTGGGGGCCTCTTGGGCTTGCTTGGAGGCCTCTTGGGCGGTATTGGGGCCCTCTTGGAGGTAGTTTGAGGACCTCCTAGGAGGCTATTGGGGGCCTCGTGGGAGCCTCGTGGGTGCCTCTTGGGGCTTCCTGGGGGACTCTTGGGGGCCTCTTGGGGCGTCTTGGGGGGCTTCTTGGGGGCCTCTGGGAGCCTCCTGGGATCCTCCCAGGCCGAGGACTCGAAATGTCCATTCGGGTTCCCTGTCTGGGCTCCCTCCTGGAGCCGTCTTGGGGGCCTCGTGGGCTGTCGTTGAGGCCTCTTGGGCGGTCTTGGGGCCCTCTTGGGGGTAGTTTTGGTGCCTCTTGGGAGGCTTTTGGGGGCCGCTTGGGTCGTTTTGGGACCCTCTTGAAGGCCTCTTGGGCGATTTTAGGGGCCTCTTGGGCTGTCTTGGAGCGTCGGGAAGCCGACAGGGCGAGCACGCCAGAATTGTTCAAACGCTTCAGGGGAATCAATGATTGTTGCCCCTTGGGGCTCTCTTGGGAGTGTTCTTGGAGGCCTCTTGGGGCGTTTTGAAAACCTATTGAGCCGTCTGGGGGTAACTTTGGCGTCTTGGATTGATAGTTCGGCGATTCGGTACCCTCGAGGATCGTCTTGGGGGCCTCTTGGGGCACTCTTGCCGCGTGTTGGGGCTCTTCTGGTTCCCAGAACCGCCCGGGGGGATGCATACTTGAATGGGGACTTACCCCCAGGGGACCCCCCCCCGGGACCCCCCATCAGCGAGGATATAATCAACGGGAAGGGGCTTCCCTTCGACTCAGCTACGACGTTGCTCAATGTCCCTTTGGCTGGCGCGCTTGAGGAGGAGGGCCCAGGGAAAGGAGACGGGGCACGACGGAGACGACGGTTGACGGAGACGACGAGTAGGCGACGGAGACGGGAGACGACGACGGACGCGACGAGGAGGCGACGGAGACGACACGACGACGACGGCGACCACCAGAAGAGCGTCATCCACACGCCGACGGGGTCGGCGGATGCTGTGTTCGACGCCGTGGGCTCCGTCGTCAAGCCGAGCCCCCTGCGTGGCCCGCCCCTCGTCCTCCTCGTCGTCGTCGTCGGAGGAGGAGGCGGAGGAGGCGGAGGGAGGAGGCGGAGGAGGACCGCCCGGGACGAGCGTGCGGCACGTGCAGCGTTGTGGGTGGACTGCCTTCGCTGCCTCGGCCACGCGCAGAGGGCGGCGAAAGATGCTCGTCTCGGGGATCTTCCCGGGGCGCAGATCTGCTCGACTCTGGTTCGACCCGAGTCGAACTCGAGTCGAACTAAATTCTACTCTAGTCAACTTAAGTTGAGTCGAACTCTAGTCGAACTAATGAAGTTCCACTCGAGTTGAGTTCCACTCAAGCTCGAATTTGATTCGGCTCAAGTTCGACTCGGGGTCGACTCAGATTCGACTCGAGGTCGACTCGAATCGACGGACCTTCGACGCAGCTTCGGCGAACGCACGAGTGGCGCGAGTGTCTCCAGGAAGGTCCCCAGAATGAGCATCCGAGGGCGGCCGGGGGAGCGGGGAAGGCTTTTTAGAAGCAGCCCCCCTCGCCCTACGGAGGCTTCGCGTCGTGTCGACCAGCGGCGGCCCCGCCGCCGGCGTTCCACTCTGAACGCCGCTGGCGACCCAGAATCGGTCGACGTTGAGCGATCTGACGTTTCGGAGAGGGGCCGATCGTTCAAGGTTGAACGATCCCCGCGGTGTCACAAACAGGCGTCGAAGTCAGCACGACACGAGCCTGCCGTACCCCCCTCCTGCGCGCCGCCAACCTCGGCTTCCATGTCTTCGGGGGGGGGGGGGGGGCCCACATCGCGCTGAATCAGGAGGGAACAAAAACACACAGACACAATTAATCGTCGATTCCGCACAAGATGTGGGAAAATATGGGAAATGGGGGGAAGACAAAACCCAGAAAATATAGGAAAATATGGGGAATCCGTTTATTTGTTTGTATTTCTTTGTGTGCCCCAGGGCCCCCTCACTGCAGCAGGCCCAGAGGAGGCGCCACAGGAAGTGCTGCGGGGGGCGGCGTGGCCCGTCCGCGGCGGCGAGCCGCTGGGGAGCGGCGCGCGGCGTTTTGGGGGGTGGGCGTGGCACTCGGCGGGCCGTGCTGCGCCGAAGCTCTCCGGCCGGCGGCGAGCAAAGGGGGGAGGGAGAGGAGGCGAGGGGGGGGGGAAGGCCCTCTCGGACGGCTCGGAAGTCCGCCAGCCTTCTGAGAGGCTGCGGGGCCTGCCCCGACGGCACACAGAAAGCTGTCCAGAAGGCCGGAGGGCGTCTGAGAAGTCCTGCCGCCTTCCGAGAATGCCTTCTCCTTCTCGTTTCCCCCACTTGCTCGCCGCCGATCCGAGGAGATCGGTCGCATCCTCCATCTGCATTTCTTTAGTTTTTTGTTTTGTTTCTCTCTCTCTCTCTCTTTCGCTCTATCTCCAAGGTAGATTCGAGCTGTCTGTCTTCATTTTTGGTTTGGTCATTTGTGTTCTGTTCGCCGACTTGTTTTGTTGCGAATGCGATTGCGACACCTGGCAGCCGCGGAGGAGACGCTCGTCGAGTAAAGAAAAATTGCATAATTAATATCAATTGGCGACGACGCTCGCGAATGTCTCGGATCTGCGTCGGAGCCCCCTGGCGGCGCCTCCACGCCGCTCCCGGCGCGCTCCGCGCGCCAGGAAGGGGGTCCGGCGCCGATCCGAGAAATCCTTGCGGACCTCTGAAAGTTCATGTTCATGCAGATGTTCGTTCCTTCATCTCGGCAGTTCGGGACGCAGAGCGACGCTGGCCGCAGTGCGATGCTGGCCAGCGTCCGCGGGCGTTGCTGCCCACAACGCAGGCTGGGCCGCTGGGCTCGCGCCGACCTGGCTGGGCTCGTGGCGCACGGGTAGCGTTAAGTCGGGCCTGTCCCTCTACAGGAGCAATATTCAAAATAGTAAAAAAGTAACTTGAAGACGTTTTTTTGCATTTGTCCCCATATCCTAAGACATGGTTCTTGTTCCCCATATCCTAAGATGGGGTTCTTGTTATTTCTTGGACGCCGCCGACTTCTCCTCCTCCTTCTCCTCCCCTCTCCTCCTCATACCCAGACTTACTCATACACAGACTGACTCACACTCAGACGTACTCATACCCAGACTAATACACACAACATTATTCATACTCGGGCCTACTCATACTCAGACCTACTCCTACTCAGACTTACTCATGCTGAGACTCACGCACGCCCCGTTCGCGGCCGTTTTGTGGGGATGTCTCAAGCGTTTTGCCTTTGTTCTGTCCCAACATCCTTCGCTTTCGGAGCAGACTTGGACGATGTCTCGAGCGAGGCGCTCATTTTCACGTCCCTAAGGGGAGCCGCCGAAGGGGTGTTGCATGGTCCCGTTCGCGGCCGTTTTGTGGGGATGTCTCAAGCGGTTTGCCTGTTCTGTGTCCCAACATCCTTCGCTTTCGGAGCAGGTTTGGAGGATGTCTCGAGCCAGGCGCTCATTTTCACGCCCCTAGGGGGAGCCGCCGAGGGGTGTTGCACGGTGCCGTTCGCGGCCGTGTTGTGGGGATGTCTCAAGCGGTTTGCTTGTTTCTTGTCCCAACATCCTTCGCTTTCGGAGCAGGTTTGGAGGATGTCTCGAGCGAGGCGCTCATGTTCACGTCCCAGGTTGGCCAGATTTTGAGGACGTCTCGATCGGTTTGCCTGTTTTGGTGGCCAGACTCGTGGGCACAGGAGGCTCCAACATGCTCCAGGAGGCCCCAGGAGACCACATGAGGACCCAGGAGGCATCAGGAGGCTACAGAAAGACGCAAGAGGCCACAGGATGTCCCAAGAGGCTCCAGGAGGCCCCAGGAAGCTCCAGGAGGCCTCAGGAAGCCACAGGAGGCCCTAGGAGGCCACAGGATGCGCCAGGAGGCCTCGGAAGGCAACAGGAGGCCCCGAGAGGCCCCAGGAGCAGGAGGCCGCAGAAGGCAACAGGAGTGGCTCCAAACCCATGTGCTTTACGTACGCACCTATAGGTTGAGCCTCACCTGGAGCACGAACCCTTGACGTTATACGTATGTCTCTATATATTGTCCTTCTCCAGTGTACACAATCCGAACTGTTTAACTTATGCTCCTATATCTTGGGCCCTTCCTGGGGCACGAGTCCTTTGTGTTTTACGTGTATCCCTATAGACTGCCCTTCTCCTGCGGCTCCAATCCGCAATGTTTTATGTACGTCTGTTGCTATAGATTGGGCCACTCCTGGGGCACGAATCCTCCCTAGGAGGTCCCAGGAGGCTCCAGGAGGCCCCAAGAGGCTCCTGGAGACCCCAGGAAGCCCCAGTAGGTGTCAGGAGGCCCCAGGAGGCCCCAGGCGCATGCGCAGAGACGCGCTCGTACTACTGAAGCTCATCCACACTCCAATTCATTCGCAGTTAGATTCATGACCAGACAGTCATAACTGAAGCCTGTTTATATTCGAAAGCTCTTGCGCCTAGACATTCGCGGCGGACAGGTCCATGCGAATAGATGCACAGATGAGGAGCTCCACGCAGTGAGTAATTGACCGTTTTGGAGTATTGTTTGAGTATTGTTTGAATTTCGTCGAAAATTCCCTGTGGGGGCACAGGCCCGACTTAAGAATGGCGCCATGGGCGCCGACGTCGGCGGCGTTGTCGCGGCGTCTGCGGGGGCGGTGGCGCCGAAGCGGGCTCGCAAGGGGCCCTCGGCCGGAGGCGCGGTGCGAGAGGGATGGGCGCGCGCCCACGGCATGGCTGGAGGCGGCGGGGCTCGGGCCGCCTGGCTGGAGGGAGCAGGCCGGCGCGCACGGGGACTGCCCGTGCATCCCTGCGCCCAGGTGCGAAGGATGCCACGCCGTCCGCGAAGGACGAGGAGGATCCAAGGGCACCCTCGAGGGCGCGAAGTTATTCGCGCTTCGCGGTTCGGCTCCGATTCCTCCTCAGCCTCCTCTTCTCCCTTGGGAGGCGGCGCGAGAGCGCGAAGTTGTTCGCACTTCGCGCACCGCGAAGCGCGAAGTTGGGAGCTCTTGAGGATCTGAAGCAGGAGCAGATGTTCGGCACGGGCACGGACACAGAACGGGGCCCAAGGCATCATGAGGCGTCGTTTGATGCTCCGTGGGTTTGGGGCGCAGCGGCGGTCACGGCAATGGCCGCCAAGGCAGCTCGGGCGACAGCGCGGCCATCGGAGAGGTGCCTGGTGAGCTGGAAGACTGCGAAGTCCTGGACAAGGGTTTGGCGACCTGACATGAAATGCTCCCCTTCCCATGTCCCCCCTCCTTCCTCCATCCCTTCCCATCTCCACTGTCCCTTTCCTCCTTCCACGAGCTGATCGAGTGCGTAGACTGTTTTGTTGTTGATCATGCGTCTCTGTCATGAGTTCTTCAAGCGTTGTTCAATCGCGCCGCATCCCACCAACCAACCTTCCCTTCCTCATACCATCCTCGTCCTCCTCCCCCTTCCCTCCACACCCTTCCCACCCCATCCCCCCCATCCGTTCTCCGCCCTCTCCCCTCCCTCCCTCCTCTCTCTTTCCCGCCCCCAGTGTCCCTACCCATCTCCCCTCCCCATCCCTTTTGTTTCTCCTACTTTCGCCTACCCTCTTCCCTCCTTCCCGCTCTTCTCCTACTCCCTGCCATCACCCATCATCCCTTGCTGCTGTCGTCCAACTCCTCCTCATCCTAATTCTCCATATCCTCCCACCCCCCGCTATCATGCACATCCCTTCCATCCTCGCCTCCCTGTTCCTCCCCCACCTATGCAGGCACCTGATCAAGGATTACCTCGAGCTGCGCGCATACATCAGCAAGATTCCCGAGGTGAGGCTGTTCGCAGAGCTTGCGAAGAACGCCGACATGTGCAGGCTCCTTAAGAATCGGTGTGCCTACGGCTTCTGCCGCGCAGCCTCCGGTCAAGAAGAGTCTCGGCTGGATTCTCTGACCGAGGCGTTGCCTTGGATGCCAGGAGCGTGGTGGACCACAGTGGCTTTGCCGATGGACGCAAACTGTGGCAGGTTAATGCCACGACCACGTGGCGGAGGAGGAGGATGTTCTCAGAGGTCTCCAGAGGCCGCATTGAGGCCCACAGAGGCCCAAAAAGGGGCCAATCGAAGCCGAATCCTTGAACCTCGAAGCTTACGTACGTAATCCTCGAAGCTCACCTCGACTTCGAAGCTTAACCCTCGAGCCTCGAATATCCATCCTCGACGGCCCTCGAGGCTCAATATCCTCGAACCTCGAGCCTCCATCGCCGTCGCCCTTGCTGCCTCGCGCCCCGTGGACCGGTGGCCCGCCGCGGGCCCGCGGATTTCCACGCGTCCGTCCTGGCGGCGAGGGAGGCGCTGAGGTTCGTGGCCACGCTGCCGGCGCTGATCCACGCCAAGACCTCGGACTGGATGACCAAGGCCTTGCTCGCCCCGGACCGCCGCGCGGGTCGGCACGGTCGGGGTCCTATTCTTTCTCCTCCTCCGCCTCCTCCTCCTCCTCCTCCTCCTCCTCCAGAGGGCAGGCTTGTTATGTCTTTCTGGGCTTCCGGCAGGCTGCCGCCGTCTGGATTTCCCTCCCGGACTTCTGGCCGAGATGCACCCCAGGGAATGCTTCAAGGCCGCCACATGCTTTGAAGGGGTCCCGGACGAAATGGGCCCTGGATGTTCCCGGAAAGGGCGCCGGCCCAGGGTTCTCTTTTAGTTGGTAAACCTGTCCCCGGTGCCTCAACTGAGGTGGGCCGGCGAATTTCTTTTGCGATAAATATCGAGGTCGAGGTGGGCCGGCGAATTAAACATTGAGGATGTCTCGAGCGAAACGCTTGTTGTTCAGAATTTGTTGAGGATGTCTCAAGCGGAATGCTTGTTTTGTGTTATAGATTGTCCTCTCCCGGGGACCCGAATTCAGAGGATCTCTCAAGTGAAATGCTTGTTGTCACGTGCCCAGGTCTTGAGGGTGTCTCGAGCGAGACGCTTGGTTTCACGCCTCCAGGTTGCCCAGACAGATGTCTAGCATGAGGATTTGTTGAGGATGTCTCGAACCAGAGGCTTGTTCTCACGTGTCCAGGTCGCCCAGGCGGATGTCTAGCATGAGGATGTGTCGAGGAAGTCTCGATCGAGACGCTTGTTTGCACGTGTCCAGGTTGCCCAGGCGGATGTCTGAGGATGTGCCGAGAACGTCTTGACCGGAACGCGTGTTTTCACGTGTCCAGGTCGCCCAGGCACAGCACAGCCTTCGGCACGGTACACCAATATCGACACCCTTAGCATTGCAGCCTGGCGTGTTGCCTGGCACGTTCCGCGGAGCGTCCCGTGGCGAGTCCCCCTGGCATGTCGCGTGGTGCACGTCCATTGGCACGTTCCGTAGCGCGTCCCCTTGGCACGTCCCGCGGTGCGTGCCCATGGCACGTCCCCTGGCACGTCGCCTGGCGCGTCCTTTGGGACGTTCCGCGGCGCGTCTTCCTGGCATGTCCACTCTGTCGATTAGTTCTGGTGCAGCTACCATCTGCTCAGGCAGCTCGAGCTTAAGATCCAGATCAGTTCGGTCAGGACTCGGATGCTAGGGAGGACTCGATCCACAACGCTATATAGAGCACAATCGCGGCATGGCACATCGCAGTTCAGCACGGCGTAGCACAGCACAGCCCTCGGCACAGTACATCAAGATCGATACATTCAGCATTGCATTTGCCCGTCGCCCAATCAGGTGTCTTTGAAACGTTGCAATGCCTTACATTTCTATATTCCTTTCCGGGTTCGTGGGTCGATCATGTTTTTTTCACCAGTTTCAAGGCACGCGGAGCCCTCTCCCGGGGCGGTCAAGAAATTACTGTAGAACTACCCACTGCGAGTGAGCGGCCGAACCTTTGCAGAATACCATTGGAGACCTCCAGAGACCAAGACCTCCAACGTCTTGAAACAAGCAAGCGACAGCTCGTGGGCGCCTCTGGAGGGTCTTTTCGCCTCGGTGGGACGCAGCAGCTCGAACAATTGGCCAGCCAGGACGGGCCCCTGGGAGATTTCCAGAAACTGCTTGGGAAAGCCCAGCGGCCAGTGCCGCCGACCCTGAAGGGGACGGCGACGACGGCGGCGGCGGCGGCAGCGACGACGACGACGACGCTGACGCTCTGGAGCCTTTCTTGGGGCTCTCTGGCGATCCTCTGAAGGGCTCTGTTGGGCCTGGGGCTGCGGCCGGGACTGGGGCCGGGGGCTGGGGGCCGCCAGGGTCAAGCAGTGGCGAAGCATCTTGGCTCGCCTATAGCCCTACCAAGCAATGCTCTAGGACCCCTTTGGTGGTTTCCACGAAATGTTCTTAGAACAGTTCTGGCGGAGTCTGCCTTGTTTTATCACATCGGGTTTATGCTCTAAGAGCATTGTTTTTGTTCTTAGAACATTCGTGGGTTCTAAGAGCATGTCGTGGTAGGCCTATAGGAGCGCCAGGACGGTCGGTCCTTGCTCAAATGGACCCTCTTCTGAACACGCCGACGTCGCCGATGCATCGCCGATGTATCGGGCGCTGCGGCGAGATCTTCCGCCACCGTCTACTCGGACCCCATCTAGGAGGCCTCTGAGGGTGGGTCGTCCTCTTCGGACTCGGCGCCTGGACTCTTCCTGGGCTGCGTCTTGGACGGGACTTTCAACAAGGGGAAGCCGGCCGTGGCGACGAGCAGCCTTCTGGGCCAAGAGCTACAGCGAGCACGGAACAAAAGCGATTTTCCCATGCCATTTTTCCACGAAGGTTGAGTCCAGCTGTGGTGACGAAGGCCTCCCAGGAGGCCTAAAAAGGCGAAACCGAGGCAAGGGCAGCGGTATCGGCCCTTGGTCGAGCTTCTCAGCGCTAAAAGCTACAGTCAACATTGAACAAAGGATGAGCTATTTTCCTAGGTTGCTGTTGCATCTTTCCCCTTCGGCCACGTTCGTTGGCCGCGCCCCACTCGGAAGGTGTCGAAGTGGCCCTCCAAGGCTCTTTGCGTCCTCACCGCGCATCCTTATTACGCGGTGTGGTTGTAGACCCTCCGCTGCGGATTTGTTGTTCAGCACGCGGGCCCTTGGCTTCTCTACCCGTTCCTTGGGCACCCGTGTTTCGCCCCGTACAGTCTTGCGGCGGCCCCGGCGGACCCGCCAGCGGCTTTGGTTGAGCCGAAGATTGCGACGAGCTTGCGCAGTCGTTCCAGGCGTCGGAGGTATGTGATCGGTTTCTTATTATTTTGCCGATCGGCGCGGGCCCTCGCACCCCATGGGGTAGATCTTGGCTATGTTTGGCGCCTGTTTCGAGCAAGTGGAGTCCCTCCACCATGGGACGCACTGTTGCAAACAGTCGCATTAAGCAGAGGTCCAGAGCCAGAGGCACCCCCTCCCCCCCTCCTTCCGCCCAATGCCAAAATGCCAAATAAGAAAACGTTCACCATGGGAACGCCCGCAAGCCTCCATCGTCCATGCTCTGACCACGATCGCCTCGATCGGAGGAGGACGGATGGGGTCTGGCTTTCTGATGTTCTAACCTACTTTCGCTTTGATCACAAGAAAACATCGGGCACCAAGAAAGTACCGACATTTGAGGGTTTTCACGTGCCGAGCCCTGGAAGGCGACACTCGTTCGACACTGTTTCGACACTTCTCTGGGTGCTCGAAATTGTTTCTGGGACGTGGTCGTTAAGTACGATGGGAGCAACACAAGTCCGGGCGCTCTGGGTTTCTTGATAAGCGTGGGTGGGTACCCCCTCGACGGGGGTCAACTTCGCCCCGTCGTCGCGCCGCGACGGGGGTCGGAGCGACTTCGGCGCGCGGTGGCTGCCCGCGACGGATGTCGATGTGAGGCTGTCGGCGGGGGTGACGCCCCCCCGACGCTTGTTAAGAAACTCGGAGTGCGGATACGAGGGTGGCTGTGCGGGTCACCCGCGAGGACCTGCAGTACATCCAGAACTCCGCCGCCTTGGCCCGCGAAGCCGCGGGCTAGCCCCAGCTGCTGCCATTGCCCTCCCGCCCGCCTCCTTCGGGTGTTGCTTGACTGGAAGGGGAGGAGCAGGAGCAGGAGCAGGAGCAGGAGGAGGAGGAGGAGGAGGAGGAATGGGGAGGAGGAATGCGGAGGAGAAGGAGGAGGAGGAGGAATGGGAAGGAGGAATGGGGAGGAGGAATGGGGAGGAGGAGGAGGAGGAGGAGGAGGAGGAATGAGGAGGAGGAGGAGGAGGAATGAAGAATGAGGAGGGAGAGGAGGAGGAGGAGGAGGAGGAGGAGGAGGAGGAGGAGATGCAAAAAAATGCACCTTTTTTTGTGCCGCCTTCAGGGGGCCCTGGACGGACCCCCTGGAGCCCAACACGGGGGCACGACAGGTGCACGCTTCTTCCCCAATCGCCCCATCAATCTAACGTCGGGTATGTCCCCCTGCAGGAGGAACATTCGAGAATAGTACAAGAATAGTCTGGGGATGATTGTTCGGGCAATTCTTCTCCATCTTTGAGTATTTCTCCGGCCAAGAAAACGCATTTTCCTTCCAAGTCCGCCTGTGGGAGGACATACCCGACATGACATGCATCGCCTCCCCATTGAGCAACACCCGACTCCTCCTCTTTCCCTCCCGCCCCCCCTCCACCGACCCGGGAGGAGGAAGGGCGGACTTCGATTTTCGGGATTCGGCCTCCGACGATCGCAAGGGTCTTTCGTGCGTTGTGGTTGTCCTCGGCCTGCGTGAGGCTCCTCATCTCCACGGCGGGATCCACCTTGTCACCAGAGAGAACTCTGGTGGTCAAGTTTGCACTCTCAAGCCCCTCCTAGAGGAAGATTCAAAATAGTCAGAAAATAGTTTGGGCACGGTTTTCTGATTATTCCCGGAAAGGGTTTGGGCCAAGGGTTCTCTGTTGTTTTCCCCCCGGTTTTGACTTGAAGGGGACCAGCGGACTTATTCTATATAAAAAACAAAGTAAAGTCAAATTCGGCATGGCAAAATTGCGTTTCGCGCGTGCCCGCTCGAGGAAAGTCGCCCCCCATCTCGGATCCTCGATAAATAACAGGGTCCGCGGACCACCGTTTTCCCTAGGAAAAGAGAAGGTACGGGGCACTTCTAGCAGAGTCCGCAAAAAAAAACTAAGTCTGGAGCTCCGACCGCGACGCGGAAAAGCGCCCCGCGCGCAGGAATTCCGAGGATGTCTCGCGCGTGCCGCGTCCCGCGCGCAGGAATTTTGAGGACGTCTTGACTAATTCGCTTGTTTTTGGGGGGGGGATTTCTTTGGAGTTGGGCAGGATGTCTCGAGCGAAACGCTGGTTTTGCAAAATTGGGGGATGTCTCAAGCGGGGGCCTCGTGGGGGGCCAGAATTCAGAGGGTGTCTCAGGCGAAATGTTTGTTTTCACGTCCCGCTCGCAGGAATTCCGAGGATGTCTCGCGCGTGCCGCGTCCCGCGTGCAGGAATTTCGAGGATGTCTCGACTAATTCGTTTGTTTCTCAAGGATTTAGCGTGAAAATGTTGAGTTTTTGCGTGCCCGCTCGAGGATGGTGTGCCCCCCGCGCCCAAAATCGAGGATTTGTCGAGCGAAACGCTTGTTTGGCAAAACTTGACGGGCCTGGGTGCCCCAACATGCCCCAGGAGGCCCTGGGAGCGCGGACGCGGCGTAATTTACGAGAGATCGTAGCCCTTGGAGCTCGGACCACGCGTAATTTGCGAAGGATCGTGGCCCTCGGAGCGCGGGCGCAGCGTAATTTACAAGGGGTCGGGGCCTTGGGAGCTCGGACGCAATGTAATTTACGAGGGATCGTAGCCCTTGGAGCGCGAGCGCAGTGTAGAATATTAGGGATCGGGACCCTGGGGGCTCGGACACAGCGTGATTCAAGAGGGATCGTGGCCCTGGGAGCGCGGACGCAGCGTAATTTACAAGGGGTCGGGGCCCTGGGAGCGCGACCCCAATGTAATTTTCGAGGGATCGTGGCCTTGGGAGTGCGGACGCAGCGTAATTTACAAGGGATCGTGGCCCTGGGAGCGCGTCCCGTGGCACGTCCATTGGCACGTTCCGTAGCGCGTCCACTTGGCACGTCCGGCAGTGCATTCCCATGGCACTTTCCTTGGGACGTCGCCTGGCGCGTCCCTTGGGACGGTCCGCGGCGCGTCCTCCTGGCATGTTCCCCTGTCAATTAGCTCTGGGGTAGCTACTATGTGCTCGGGCAGCTCGAGCTTAAGATCCAGATCAGTTCGGTCAGGACTCGGACGCAAAGGAGGACTCGATCCACGACGCTATAGACCGCAATCGCGGCATGGCACGTCGCAGTTCAGCACGGCGCAGCACAGCACAGCCCTCGGCACGGTACATCAAGATCGATACACTCAGCATTGCAACTTGTCACGTTCCCTGGCACGTTCTGTGGCGCGTCCCGTGGCGAGTCCCCCTGGCACGTCGCGCGGCGCGTCCCCTGGCACGTCCCGTGGCACGTCCATTGGCACGTTCCGTAGCGCGTCCCCTTGGCACGTCCCGCGGTGCGTCCCCATGGCACGTTCCCTGGCACGTCGCCTAGCGCGTCCCTTGGGAGGTTCCGCGGCGTGTCCTCCTAGCACGTCTCCTTGCCAATCAGCTCTTGGGCAGCTACTATATGCTGAGGCAGCTCGAGCTTACGACCCAGATCAGATCGGTCAGGACTCGGATGCAAAGGAGGACTCGATCCACAACGCTATAGAGCACAATCGTTGCATGGCACATCGCAGTCCAGCACGGCGCAGCACAGCACAGCCCTCGGCACGGTAGATTCAGATCGATACATTCATCATTGCATGTGCCCTTCGCCCAATCAGGTGTTTTTCAAACGTTGACATTTCTTACATTTCTATATTCCTTTCCGGGTTCGTGGGTCGATCATGTTTTTGACGATGTTTGAATATGTTCTGGCTTGTTCGCTTAATTCCCTGAAAGGGCTCCGTCCCAGGGTTCTCTTTTAGTATGTAAACCTGTGCCAGGTGCCATGCGGGAGGTGGGCCGGCGGAATTATTTACTGATAATTTTCGAGGTCGAGGAGGGCCGGCGGAATTAATTGGGAGGATGTCTCTAGCGAAACGCTTGATTTCAGAATTTGTTGAAGATGTCTCGAGCGAAACGCTGGTTTTGCAGAGTTGGGGATGTCTCGAGCGAAACGCTTGTTTTCAGAATTTGTTGAGGATTTCTCCGGCGAAACGCTGGTTTTGCAGAGCAGACCGCGACGCGGAAAAGCGCCTCGAGCGCAGGAATTCCAAGAATGTCTCGCGCGTGCCGCGTCCTGCCCGAGAAATGTTGAGGATGTCTCGACTAATTCGCTCGTTTTTTATAGGATGTCTTTGAATTTTGGCAGGATGTCTCGAGCGAACTGCTTGTTTTTCATAATTTGTTGAGGATGTCTCGAGCGAAACGCTGGTTTTGCAAAATTGCGCGATGTCTCGAGCAGAGGCCTCGTGGGGGGCCAGAATTCAAAGGATGCCTCCGGCGAAATGCTTGTTTTCACGTCCCGCTCGCAAGAATTCCGATGATGTCTCGCGCTCGCCGCGTCCCGCGCGCAGGAATTCTGAGGATGTCTCGCCTAATTTGCTTGTTTTTGCAATGATCTCCTTGAATTTTGATAGGCTGTATCGAGCGAAATGTTTGCGTTCCATACTTTGTTGAGGATGTCTCAAGCGAAACGCTGGTTTTGCAAAATTGAAGGGTGTCTCGAGCTGGGGGCCTCGTGGGGTGGGGGGCAGAATTCAGCGCATGTCTCAGGCGAAATGCTTGTTTTCACGTCCCGCTCGCAGGAATTCCGAGGATGCCTCGCGCGTGCCGCGTCCCGCGCGCAGGAATTTTGAGGATGTCTCGATGAATTCGTTTGTGTTGCCAGGAGTTCACAGGATTTTGAGAGGATGCCTCGAGGGACACTTTTTTTACATGATTTGTTGAAGATTTCTAGAGCGAAACGCTGGTTTTGCAAAATTGCGGGATGTCTACAGCGGGGGCCTCGTGGGGGGCCAGAATTCAGAGGATGCCTCCGGCGAAATGCTTGTTTTCACGTCCCGCTCGCAAGAATTCCGATGATGTCTCGCGCTCGCCGCGTCCCGCGCGCAGGAATTCTGAGGATGTCTCGCCTAATTTGCTTGTTTTTGCAATGATCTCCTTGAAATTTGATAGGCTGTCTCGAGCGAAATGTTTCTGGGTTTTTCCTATTTTGTCGAGGATGTCTCAAGCGAAACGCTGGTTTTGCAAAATTGCGGGATGTCTCGAGCGGGGGCCTCGTGGGGGGGGGGGCAGAATTCAAAGGATGTCTCAGGCAAAATGCTTGTTTTCACGTCCCGCTCGCAGGAATTCCGATGATGTCTCGCGCGTGCCGCGTCCCGCGCGCAGGAATTTCGAGGATGTCCTGACTAATTCTTATGTTTCGCAAGGATTTCCTTCGATGTTGACAGGATGTCTCGAGCGAAAAGCTTGTCCTGAGCACGTTCCGTAGCGCGTCCCCTTGGCACGTCTCGCGGTGCGTCCCCATGGCACGTCCCTTGGCACGTCGCCTGGCGCATCCCTTGGAACGTTTCGCGGCGCATCCTCCTGGCATGTCCCCTTGTCAATTAGCTCTGGGGCAGCTACTACGTGTTCAGGCAGCTCGAGCTTAAGATCCAGATCAGTTCGGTCAGGACTCGGATGCAACGGAGGACTCGATCCACGACGCTTTAGAGCACAATCGCGCCTTGGCACATCGCAATTCAGCACGGCGCAGCACAGCACAGCCCTCGGCACGGTACATCAAGATCGATACATTCAGCATTGCAATTTGGCACGTTCCTTGGCACGTTCTGTGGGGCGTCCCGTGGCGAGTCCCCCTGGCACGTCGCGTGGCGCGTCCCCTGGCACATCCCGTGGCACATCCATTGGCACGTTCCGTAGCCCGTCCCCTTGGCACGTCCCGCGGTGCGACCCCATGGCACGTCCCCTGGCACGTCGCCTGGCGCATCCCTTGGGACGACGTTTCGCGGCGCGTCCTCCTGGCATGTTCCCCTGTCCATGAGCTCTGGGGCAGCTACTATGTGTTCAGACAGCTCGAGCTTAAGATCCAGATCTGATCGGCCAGGACTCGGATGCAAAGGAGGACTCGATTCACGACGCTATAGAGCACAATCGCGCCATGGCGCATCGCAATTCAGCACGGTGCAGCACAGCACAGCCCTCGGCAGGGTACAGCAAGATCGATACACTCAGCATTTCATTTGCCCGTCACCCAATCAGGTGTCTTTGAAAACGCTGCCATGTGTACAGTTTTATATTCCTTTCCGGGTTCGTGGGTCGATCATGTTTTTCTCCCAAAATCCGCCAGTAGGAGGACATGCCCGACTTACGAGTAGTCTCCTACTGCGGCTGTAAGGAGTACGGATCGTGCTCCCCTGGGAGTAGACTTCTATTGGCAGTAAGAGCCCACTCCGCGTAGGAGCCTACTGGGAGTAGGAGCCCACTGGCAGTAAGAGCCCGCTCCCAGGGGAGTAGGAGCCTCTTCCCCGGGGAGTAAGCTCCTACCAGCAGCAGGAGCCCAGACTCCCGAGCACAATCCACGTCGAAGAATTGTTGGCAGGTGTCGGCCTCCAGAGGCTGGTTTTGGGCCCCGGGTCCGTGAGCAAAGTGCTCGGGATGGACCTTTTGTACAGGTGAAGGGTTCGAGACCTCTGCGGTTCCATGTGTGAAACAATCCAGATTTCGGGGGTCCGGCCCATGTCGCCATCTCCATCCACACCACCCTTTCCTTTCCTTCCTCCTGGCCCCCTCATCTCTTGTCCCCTTGCTTTGCCCGGACTTGTGCGGAGGGGACCTCGCACAGAAGGCTGCCTTGCAGAATCGTGGGCGCATCCTGGACTTGTCGTGGTCCTGGTCCTCCTCCTCCTCCTCTCCCTCCCACTCCTCCACCTCTCCCTCCCCACTTCTCTTGTCCCCTTGCCCCCTTCCTCTCTCCCTCTCCGCCCCCTCCGCCCTTCTGCCCCTCCCCCCCCTCACCTGATCGGCCCCCCCCCCCCCGCGTGGAGCGTGTGGTTTCCCGAGGTGGCGATCCCTTTCGAGAAGACCCAAGCCTTCTTAGAGGCCCCATGCCTCCTTAGAAGCCCCATGCATTCTAAGAAGACCCATGCCTTCTTAGAAGCCCCATCCTTAGATTGCTTGCCGCCAGCTCCCCTCTCGCTTCCCCGTCCCTCCCTCCTCCCTTCCGGGGAGGCGAGGCGGCTGTGCTTCCCCACGCCTCCGGCGACTCGAGAAGACATCGCGCCCGAGCTGCGGTTTCCAGATGCTGTGCGGCCTGGGCAGCGTCGCCCTCCCCCCCCCAGACCGTAACAGAAATAGTTCAGGGCCTACGATGCCCTGAACTCTTTTCACTTCATGTCCTGATAGGGCATAACTTGGCATCCCTTGGACGTGTGCGTTTTTCCCGGAAAGGGCGCGGGCCCAGGGTTCTCTTTTAGTGAGTTAACCCCCCGGTGTTGACTTCAAGGGGGCTGGCGGAATTATTTTGCGATAAAAACGAGCTTGAAGGAGGCCGGCGGAATTATGTTTGAGGATGTCTGGAGCGAAACGCTTGTGTTTCAGAATTGGTTGAGTATGTCTCGAGCGAAACGCTGGTTTTGCAGAGTTGGGGGATATCTCGAGCGAAACGCTTTGTTTTTCAGAATGTGTTGAGGATGTCTCGAGCGAAACGCTGGATTTGCAGAGTTGGGGTATCTAACATGGCGTCGGGCCCAACGCCGAATTATGAGAAAACGCACGGGGGGCCGAAAAGCGCTACCCGAACACATGTCCCAATACAAAACAGTGATGGTTTCTTGCTCTGAACAGGGGGGTGCGCTTTGTGGGCTTCTCCAGGGAAGACGTTGCCAGGATGTCTCGAGCGGGAGCGCGAATTCAGTGTATCCAGGTCACGCAGGGGGGTACCTAACATGGCTGTCCCGAGCTGGAACCACGTGTTTTTTTCATGCTCAGGCCACCCAGGGAGATCTCTAACATGATTGTCCCGAGCTGGAACCACGTGTTTTACGTGTCCTGGCCACCCAGGGGGTATCTCTCATGGTTGTCCCGAGTTGGCACCGTGTTTTTACGTGTCCAGGCCGCCAACACGACGCTTGTCCCCAGTACGTTCTGTAGCGCGTCCCCTTGGCACGTCCCGCGGTGCGTCCCCGTGGCACGTCCCATGGCACGTCGCCTGGCGCGTCCCTTGGAACGTTTCGCGGCGCGTCTTCCTGGCATGTTTCCGTGTCAACTAGCTCTGGGGCAGCTACTACGTGAACTATGTGCTCAGGCAGCTCGAGCTTAAGATCCAGATCAGTTCGGTCAGGACTCGGATGCAACGGAGGACTCGATCCACAACACTGTAGAGCACAGTCGCGGCATAGCACATCGCAGTTCAGCACGGCGCAGCACAGCACAGCCCTCGGCACGGTACATCAAGATCGATACACTCACTCAGCATTGCAATTTGGCACGTTCCGTGGCGCGTCCTGTGGCGAGTCCCCCTGGCACGTCGCGCGGCGCGTCCCCTGGCACGTCCTGTGGCACGTCCATTGGCACGTTCCGTAGCGCGTCCCCTTGGCACGTCCCACGGTGCGTCTTCATGGCACGTCCCCTGGCACGTCGCTGGGCGCGTCCCTTGGAACTTTCGGCGGCGCGTCTTCCTAGCATGCCCCCCCCCGTGAATTAGCTCTGGGGCAGCTACTATGTGCTCAGGCAGTTCGAGCTGAAGATCCAGATCAGTTCGGTTAGGACTCGGATGCAAAGGAGGACTCGATCCACAACGCTATAGAGCGCAATCGTGGCATGGCACATCGCAATTCAGCACGGCGCAGCACAGCACTGCCTTCGGCACGGTACATCAAGATCGATACATTCAGCATTGCAACTTGGCACGTTCTTTGGCACGTTCCGTGGCACGTCCTGTGGCGAGTCCCCTTGGCACGTCGCGCGGCGCGTCCCTTGGCACGTCCTGTGGCACGTCCATTGGCACGTTCCGTAGCGCGCCCCCTTGGCACGTCCCGCGGTGCGTCCCCGTGGCACGTCCCTTGGCACCTCGCTTGGTGCGTCCCTTGGCACGTCCCGTGGCACGTCCATTGGCACGTTCCGTAGCGCGTCCCCTTGGCACGTCCCGCGGTGCGTCCCCATGGCACGTCCCCTGGCACGTCGCCTGGCGCGTCCCTTGGGACGTTCTGCGGCGCGTCCTCCTGGCATGTTCCCCTGTCAATCAGCTCTGGGGCAGCTACTAGTTATGTGCTTAGGCAGCTCGAGCTTAAGATCCAGATCAGTTCGGTCAGGACTCGGATGCAAAGGAGGACTCGATCCACAACGCTATAGAGCACAATCGTGGCATGGCACATCGCAATTCAGCACGGCGCAGCACAGCACAGACCTCGACACGGTACATCAAGATCGATACACTAAGCATTGCATTTGCCCGTCGCCCAATCAGGTGTCTTTGAAACGTTGCAATGTCTTACATTCCTATATTATTTTCCGGGTTCGTGGGTCGATCATGCTTTCTCGGCGACGACGACCATCCAGGAGCATCCTCGATCATCGAGCAGCCAAAAGAAAACGTAGGAGGCCAAGACATGCACGGGGAAGTGAGGCCCGATCGATGGCAGGACACGAAGCAAAGCAAGTCCCGGGTTGGAGCCGTTTGGGGGTCTGAGATGGCCCAGCACTGGTTCCGGCGAGCAAGCGGATGGGGGAGGAGGAGGGAGGAGGAGGGACGAGGAGGAGGAGGAGGAGGAGGACGACGACGAAGACGAGGAGGAGGGAGGAGGGTGGAGGGAGGAGGGAGGACGAGGAGGAGAAGGGCGGAGGAGGAGGGCGAAGGAGGAGGAGGCGGAGAGGAGGAGGAGGAGGAGGAGGAGGAGGCGGACGAGGAGGAGGAGGAGGAGGAGTGCGGAGGAGGAGGAGGAGGAGGCGGAGGAGGAGGAGGCGGAGGAGGAGGAGGAGGAGGAGGAGGAGGAGGAGGAGGAGGAGTGGTTCCAGCGAGCAAGCAGGGGGGGGGGGGGGAAGAGGCTCGAGGCGCTGGGCTCGGGCAGGCTTTTAGCAGCCTCTTTCGGCCTCCATGGGGGCCGTTTCTCGGCCTCCGGAGGCCGTGAAAGAAGGGATCCGGGGCGAAAAATCGCGCGAGGGGATTCGCGTCGGGTCCCGTTTCCACGGGAAATCGCGGATTCCCGCCTTCGAAGGGAGCGGCACCGGCCGCGTTTTTGGGGAGGGCACTTTCCCCGATCCATGGATTTGGCCACCGCGCGCCTAGCTCGTGGATTTCGAATCCATGTTTGCGCGCCCCCGACCGGGGGCCGTTTCCCGGGCCCCAGAGGCCGTGAGAGAAGGGATCCGGGGCGAAGAGTCATACGAGGTGGGCCCTGGGAGGGATCGGGGGACACTCCCCAATCAGTGCTTGCACTGAAGGGGTCCGAAGTTGAAAGATTTGGCGAAAGTCTCCCGCCGATGTCGGTGGCAGGCTGGTTTCCCCGGGTTCCCGGTTCTTGGTTCTGGGCCGATTTTGGTGGGTTCTGGGTTCCTGGGCTCCTGGGTTCCCGGTCAATCTCCTCAGCGAAAACCATCCACTGATTGTATTTTTTCTCAGGTGTAATGTTTTAAGGGGATCTGGTTTCATCCCCCCTCATAACCGATTTTCTGGGGTCCTTCCAAGCAGTTCGGACCCCGGCCGCCACCAAGTCCCAGGGAAGACTTCGAATTCCAGAGCATTGGTCTTCCGCTTCCTATCAGACCTTCTCACTGCCATACGTTTCACCGCACGCCCTTGCCTGCTCGCTCCGTTCGCCAGCGTCTCCTTCGCCGGAAAACAGTCCTCGCCACCGCCGCCGCGTCCACCTTACTGTTGCCCCGTTTCTCCATTCACGATTCTGCCATCACCCACTGTATCCATCTCAGAGGTAACAAGATTCGACCCTTGCTCTCGCTACCAATCCCCATATTCAGTAATATGAGACGTCCGTAATCATGTCTTCGTTCCACCTGGTGGGCAACTCTGGTGTGGGCTGGCAGCGGCAGGAAGGACGGAAGAGGCCGCGTCTAGAGTGTAGACGGCGCATCGAGCGAGGTTCATACGACATCAAAGGCAAGGAGGCACATTCGAAAATACATCCACGCTGAATGGAAGCGCGTCGGAACGCACCCACTGCATATAGCAGTAGTGGGCGGCTGTAGATAACAACATCACGGTGTCATGCGAAAGGGGGATATGGAAGGAGGGGGGGAGAGAGGACGAAGGAGAGCCAGGGGACCAAAGAACGGTATTCACGAATATTGGCAGTCTGCAGCGTCTCACAATTGTTTCCCATTGTGTTGTAGGCGATGTCATCAGAATCTGTAATGTATCAAGGCTCAAGGCGCACGCGTGTATATAGGAAGCCCATGTCAAACGAGGTCTGCCGCGCTTGCGAAGGGTATGCCATTGCCTGGGTGAGTTACAAAGCACTCAGTCTTCTTCACATGTTGAGACCGATTGTGAGACCGATAGTGGAGTCGATAGTGAGGACGATTGTAAGGTCAATCGTGAGACCGATAGTGAAGTCAATTCAGAGAGATCGATACTGAGATCGATAGTGAGATCGATCGTGAGATCGCTCGTGCGATCTATATTGAGATCGATTGTGAGACCGATAGTAAGATCGATTGTGAGATCGATAGTGAGATCGATAGATGTGGGTAATGAGATCGATGGTGAGACCGATCGATAAGAAAATCGACTAGGACCCGGGGCCGCGACGACGATCGGCCCAGAATTTGGAACCAGGAACCCGGGAACCCGGATCCAGGAATCCGGGAACCCGGCTGATTACCGATATCGGCCCAGCATTTTCGCCAAATCTTTCAATTGTAGGACCCATTCAGTGCAAGCATTGATTGGGAAATTAAATGTCCAGGTAACTGGGTAGAGTGTTCGGATGGGATCGTACCGTCTTGCCGTACACATCCAACTGCTTCTGCAAAATGGGAATTGGGAGAGGGCGGGCGCTTGCAGTTGACCTCATTTCTGCGTCGGTTATTCGATATTCGGCTTCCGCCAGGCGTCTTGTTAGCGTTGGTGTCGCACGCCAGACTTCGCTTAAACAGCCGCCCACCGACATGGCATGATCTTCGCATTAACCTGGCTTCCTACTGGGCCTGACAATGATTGCGGAAGACCTGATCTGTAATAGCATGGTTGTTTTTTTCATTGGGTTCCAGCGCGAATGTTTTCCCAACCATTGCCACGATAATTAGTAAAATTATGTTGAGGCGTTCCTCGCCTGTAGGTGCAACATCGAGTTGTCATCGTACCAGACGACAAGTCTATGTTCTATTCGGCTCCCTGCCGACATGTGTATATTCTTTTCGGCGTCCGCGACTGACACTAAACATTGCATCCCGATAGCGGTGCTATACTTGAATGTTCGTGGTCGATCGGACAGGTTTTACCCATCTGTTGACACACACTTACGTTCCATAATACTTGTTCTTTATCATATCAATGACAGCCAGGGGGATCCCAAAGTGTTGTAGAGCGTGGAACAAAACATCTACGCTTAGTACGGCCCTGGAGGTCTCGATTGCCTCAAAAAGAACAGCCTCTTATCTCGGAGGCCCTGAAGCGGACGCGGGAGACCAACCACTGAATACCATGCGCTTTGACTTGTTCGAGATGTTGGAGGTGTGAGTCCTGATCCGCCCACCTTCCTCAAAATCGACCCCCAGACATCCCCTGAGGCTTGCTCTGGCCAGAACTTCGAGGCGGTTCCGGTCGTTGCAGAGAGAAGTTTCAGGGAGGCCCCCAAAACAACAAAAGCAAGTCCAAAGATCTCGACCTCGAGCTCCGAACCTTACTCCATCGCTCCCTCCCTCCTAAACTGGCTGGAGTGGTGGGCTGCCCTGATGATGGACTGGAAGCCTAGGTGATCGTTTTCTTATTGTTTTGCCGATTGGCCCAGGCCCGCGCACCACCCCTCCCCCCTTCCCCATGAAGTAGATCTTGGCTGTTTTTGGCGCCTCTTTCAAGCAGGTGGAGTCCCTCCCCCATAAGACGCACTGCTGCAAACAGTCGCAATAAGCAGAGGTCCGGAGCCAGACACCTCCCTCCCCCACCCCTTCCGCCCAATGTCGAAACGCCGAATACGAAAACGGTCACCTGTTCCCAGGTTGACGCGCAGTGGAGGTGGAGCAGGAGGAAGGGGCGGAGGAGGAGCATGGAGGAGCACGGTGGAGGATCCCAGGTTGACGCACAGAGAAGCGTCAGCAGCCAGCGCAAGCGCTGGGCAGACGCTCAGCTCGTGTAGTGCATGTTAGGCGCGCCCCATCCGGGCGCAACGCCTGGGCAGGGGAGGCCTTCGCTTTCCCAAGAAGCCGTTCTTTCATGTTCTCTCTGTCCCTCTCTCTCTCTCTCTCCATTTTGTCGTTCTCTCTTTTTCCCGGAAAGGACGTAGGCCCAGGGTTCACTTTTATTCCTGGACAGGGCGTAGGCCCAGGGTTTTCTTTTTCCCGGAAAGGGCGTAGGCCCAGGGTTCTCTTTTAGTAGGTTTACCCCCGGTTTTGACTTGAAGGAGGCCTGCGGATTCCCGCTGGATAAAAAACGAGGTAAAGTCCAATTCGGCGTAAAAAAAATACGTTTCGCGGGTGCCCGCTCGATGAAAGTCGACCCCCCACCTCGGATCTTCGATAAATAATTGGGTCCGCGGACCACCGCTTCCCTTGGTTAAAAAAAGGGTGCGGGCCATGTTTAGCAGAATCATAAAAAAAACGCGGTTTGGAGCCTCGACCGCGACGCGGAAAAGCGTCCCGCGCGCATGAATTCCGAGGATGTCTCGCGCGTGCCGCGTCCTGCGTGCAGGAATTTCGAGGATGTCTCTACTAATTCGTGTGTTTGCCCGGGAAGGGCATAAGCCCAGGGTTCTCTTTTAGTTGGTTTACCTCCGGGTTTGACTTGAGGTGGGCCGGCGAATTTCTTTTGCGATAAACATCAAGGTCGAGGTGGGCCGGCGAATCAAAATTTGAGGATGTCCTTAGCGAAACGCTGGTTTTTGAAATCGCGATCGATAAATCACAGGGTGCGGGACACGTTTTGGTCAGGGGCGTGGATTACGTAATGCCTAGAGGTTGGCCCCATCCAGGGGTACGTATCTGACGTATGCTCCTATAGATGGGCCCTCTCGTTACTCATATATTTGCTCTCTCCAGGGGCACGAATACATGCGCTTTTTACTTATATTCCTATCGATTTGCCCTCTCCAGGAATACGTGTGTTCCCATAGATTGGCCCCATCCATGGGCACGCATGCGTGTGTTTTAACGTATTGTCCTATAGATGGGCCCTCGCATTACCTATAGATTGGCATTCTCTAGGGGCACGAATTCGTGCGTTTTTACGTATATGCCTATCGATTGGCCCTCTCCAGGAATACGTGTGTTCCCATAGATTGGCCCTCTCCAGGGGCACGAATCCGTGCGTTGTTACGTATATTCTTATACATGGGCCTCACATTCTCTTATAGACTGGGTCTCTCCAGGACCACGAATCCGTGCGTGTTTGCGTATGTTCCTATATATAGGCCCTCTCATTACCTATAGATTGGCCCTCGGGCACGAATACGTGTGTTCTAAAGTATATTCCTATAGATGGATCGTGGCCTTACGAACGCGGACGCAGCGTAATTTAAGTGGGATCGTGGCCCTGGGGGGGGCGGACACAGAGTAATTTACCAGGGAACGTAGCCTTGGGAGCGGGGGCACATCGTAATTCACAAGGGAACGCTGCCCTGGGAGCGCGGACGCAGCGTAGTTTACGCGGGATCGTGGCCCAGGGAGAACGGACCCAACGTAATCTAGGAGGGATCGTGGCTCAGGGAGCGCGGACGCAGCGTAAGTGGCCTCCCGTGGAGCGTCCACTGGCACGTTCCGTAGCGCGTCTCCTTGGCACGTCCCGCGGTGCGTCCCCATGGCACGTCCCCTGGCACGTCCCTTGGCGCGTCCCTCGGGACGTTCCGCGGCGCGTCCCCCTGGCATGTCCTCTTGTCAATTAGCTCTGGGGCAGTTACTAAGTGCTGAGGTAGCTCGAGCCTAAGATCCAGATCAGTTCGGTCAGGACTCGGATGCAAAGGAGGACTCGATCCACAACGCTACAGAGCACAATCGCGGCATGGCACATCGCAATTCAGCACCGCGCAGCACAGCACAGCCATTGGCAGGGTACATCAAGACAGATACACTCAGCATTGCAATTGCCCGTCGCCAAATCAGGTGTCTTGAAAACGTTGCCACGCGTTACATGTCTATATTCATGTGCCTTTCTGGGTTCGTGGGTCGATCATGTTCCAGGATTTCTTCGGCCACACAGGCAGGGGGGGTTCTAACATGTTTTACTAGAGCGTGAGCATGTTGAGTGTTTGCGTGCCCGCTCGAGGATGGTGCGCCACCCACGCCAAAAATATCGAGGATGTCTCGAGCGAAACGCTTGTTTTGCAAAACTTGAGGGGCCTGGGCGCCCCAGCATGCCCCAGGAGGTCCTGGGAGCGCGGACGCAGCGTAATCTACGAGGGATCGTGGCGTTTGGAGCGCGGACCACGCGTAATTTGGGAGGGACCGTGGCCCTCGGAGCGCGGGCGCAGCGTAATTTACGAGGGGTCGGGGCCTTGGGAGCTCGGACGCAATATAATTTACGAGAGATCGTAGCCCCTGGAGCGCAGGCGCAGGTCCGTAGCCATTTTGGCTCAAGCCATTTGGCAGGTGCTAGGCCGCGGCTGCCGTCCAGTGGGCGGCAAGCCTCGATCGGGGCGCGCGATGGCACCGATGCTGTCGCTCGAGGCGGTGCTTGCGGAGGGTCCGGCTGCGGCGGGCGCTTTCGGCGCTGTCTCGGCCGCTTGCGCCGCCGGCGTCAGCAGCAAAGCGTTGCCGACGCTGGTCGCGGCGGCGGCCCGCGGGGCGGTGCAAGGGGCATCCGCCCTAGCGGGCGCTGGCGATGGCGGCGGATGTGTCGGTGACGGGGGCAGCCTGCTCGGCCACTTGGAGGAGGCCCTGCACGTGCTTGGCAGGGCGGCGGGCTGTGACACTAAGCCGACGGTGGCGGCCGCCAAGGAGCTCCTCAGGTTGAAGGGGCCCCAGGGCTCACGCCTCGCTTCGAGGCTCGGGAAGCTGAGCAAGGCCAGGAACGTCGCGGGGCACCCCGATGTGAGCCTCATCGACGACGTGCGGACCCTCTTCGGCGGCGCCCCGCAGCTGGTGGCCACGACCGAGGAGACGATGATGGACGAACTCGTCCAGAAGCAGGCGACCGAGGAGAAGCCCATCGACCCTGGAGTGGACGGGGTGCACGACGCGAACATGCAGAAGGGCGAGCTCTACAGGCAGGCGCTTGCGGACATCGAAACCAAGCTCCAGCGCATCGAACGGCAGCTGGAGTGCTTGAGCGCGAAGCTCGAGCAGAAGCAGGACACCACGGCCGTCGGCGACAAGCAGGCGCGGGTGGACAGTAAGACGGTCTCTGCCGCCAATGACGCGAAGACGTCCGAGGCGGAGGCTGGCGAGTCGACCACCAGCGAGGCCACGGAGACCAACAGCGACACCAAGCTCCAGTGCATTGACAGGCAGCTGGAGTGCTTGAGCGCGAAGCTCGAGCAGATGCAGGACACCAAGGGCGTCGGCGAGAAGCAGGCGCAGGTGGACAGCGAGACGGCCTCTGCCGCCAGCGACGCGAAGACGTCCGAGGCGGAGGCTTGCGAGTCGACTACCAGCGAGGCCATGGAGACCAACATCGACCCTGAGGGGCAAGAGATCAGCGGCACGGACGACCAGCTTGAAGACAGGATCAGAGAGCTCCTGCAGGAGCTCCGCTCCACGATGGGCTCGGCGGAGTACACGATGTTCCTACAGAAGGTGAACACGACGTCGCAGAGAGCGATGCTCGAAGACCTCATGCACGCGATCAGCATGAGGGCACCCAGCAAGGCCAGTCGTCGGCGCAAGGGGCGCCAGCGTGAGCCCTAGCTGCGCATCCAGGGGGCGGGAGTGGCTTCGGTGGTCCCCTCCCTTTCGGGAGGGGCACAGCCAGGCTGGTGCCTTGCGCGGGCGCCACTGGTGATACCGCACACCGCGGGGATGCCCTCTCGGCCTCCTCCTGGCACATTTTGTGATACAGATTTCTGCTATTGGTTGGAGTCTGGTACTTCCTGCCTCGGTCGATCGTGAAAGGCACGGTGGCGGATGGTAGTAGCTTTTCGCGTGTCGCTGCTTGCCTGGCTGGTGGCGCCTCGCACGGATTCGGTTGCGCATTTGTGCACTCATGTAATCCAGCCTCGTCGTTGGTGTCAGTCACCCCGGCGTGTTCCAGTATGAAGTCTGCTCCTCGGTTGGCCTCAGCCGAGCTGCAATGGGTTTAAAAAAAGAGCGCGGGCGCAGTGTGAAATACGAAGGATCGGGGCCCTGAGGCTCGAACGCAGCGTGATTCACAATGGATCGTGGCCTTGAGAGCGCGGACGCAGCGCAATTTACAAAGGGTCGGGGCCTTGGGAGCGCGACCCCAATGTAATTTACGAGGGATCGTGGCCCTGGGAGCGCGGACGCAGCGTAATTTACAAGGGATCGTGGCCCTGGGAGCGCGCCGCGTGGCACGTCCATTGGCACGTTCCGTAGCGCGTCCCCTCGGCACGTCCCGTGGTGCGTCCCCGTGGCACGTCCCCTGGCACGTCGCCTGGCGCGTCCCTTAGAACGTTCCGCGGCGCGTCCTCCTGGCATGTTCCCCTGTCAATTAGCTCTGGGGCAGCTACTGTGTGTTGAGGTAGCCCGAGCTTAAGATCCAGATCAGTTCGGTCAGGACTCGGATGCAAAGGAAGACTCGATCCACAACGCTATAGAGCACAATCGCGGCATGGCACATCGCAGTTCAGCACGGCGCAGCACAGCACGACTTCGGCACGGTACATCAAGATCGATACCTTCAGCATGTCAACCTGGCACGTTCCATGGCGCGTCCCGTCGCGAGTCCTCCTGGCACGTCGCGCAGCGCGTCCCCTGGCACGTCCCGTGGCACGTCCATTGGCACGTTCCGTAGCGCGTCCCCTCGGCACGTCCCGCGGTGCGTCCTCGTGGCACGTCCCTTGGCGCGTCGCCTGGCGCGTCCCTTGGGACGTTCCGCGGCGTGTCCTCCTGGCATGTTCCCTTGTCAATTAGCCCTGGGGCAGCTACTCTGTGCTGAGGCAGCCCGAGCTTAAGATCCAGATCAGTTCGGTCAGGACTCGGTTGCAAAGGAGGACTCGATCCACAACGCTACAGAGCACAATCGCGGCATGGCACATCGCAATTCAGCAAGGTGCAGCACAGCCCTCGGCACGGTACATCAATATCGATACGCGGAGCATTGTGTTTGCCCGTCGCCCATCAGGTGTCTTTGAAACGTTGCCATGCCTTACATGTCTATTTTCATTTTCCGGGATCGTGGGTCGATCATGTTTTTTCCCGGAAAGGCCGTAAGCCCAGGATCTTTTTTTAGTAGGTTTACCCCCGGGTTTGATTTGAAGGAGGCCAAGGCCGGCTGATTTCCGCTGGATAAAAAAAAAACGAAGTAAAGTCCAATTCGGCGTAATTACAGCGCGGTTCGCACGTGTCCGCTCGAGGAAAGTAGACCCCCCACCTCGGAGATTCGATAAATAACGGGGTCCGCGGACCACCGCTTTCCTTTGTTAAAAAGAAGGTGCGGGCCATTTTTGGTAAAACCATCAAAAATAAAAAAAATCCGGGCGAAGGACCCAACCATATGCAATTGTGAATAACGTTTTGTGGGTGCCGCTTTCGGTGGGGCTCCTTATGGGGCCACGAAAGGCGTGCCACGGAACGCTGTCCTGGGCGTACGGGGCGCATGAGGGCGGTAGCATTGGGGCCTTCGGTGGAGCTCCCTATGGGGCCACGAAACGTGTGAGGTGTGTGCCGAAATGGGCGCGGCGCCACCATGCGAACGCAGCCACTGGGGCCTTCGGTGGAGTTCCCTATGGGGCCACGAAACGTGTGAGGGGTGTGCCGAAATGGGCGCGGCGCCGCCATGCCAACGCAGCCACTAGGGCCTTCGGTGGAGCTCCCTATGGGGCCACGAAACGTGTGAGGGGTGTGCCGAAATGGGCGCGGCGCCACCATGCGAACGCAGCCACTGGGGCCTTCGGTGGAGCTCCCTATGGGGCCACGAGGAGTGTGAGGGGTGTGCCGAAATGGGTGCGGCGCCGCCATGCGGACGCAGCCACTGGGGCCTTCGGTGGAGTTCCCTATGGGGCCACGAAGCGTGTGAGGGGTGTGCCGAAATGGGCGCGGCGCCGCCATGCGAACGCAGCTACTGGGGCCTTCGGTGGAGTTCCCGATGGGGCCACGAAACGTGTGAAGGGTGTGCCGAAATGGGTACGGCGCCGCCATGCGAACGCAGCCATTGGGGCCTTCGGTGGAGCTCCCTATGGGGCCACGAAACGTGTGAGGGGTGTGCCGAAATGGGTGCGGCGCCTCCATGCGGACGCAGCCACTAGGCCTTCGGTGGAGCTCCCTATGGGGCCACGAAGCGTGTGAGGGGTGTGCCGAAATGGGTGCGGCGCAGCCATGCGAACGCAACCACTGGGGCCTTCGGTGGAGCTCCCTATGGGGCCACGAAACGTGTGAGGGGTGTGCCGAAATGGGTGCGGCGCCGCCATGCGGACGCAGCCAGTGGGGTTTTCGGTGGAGCTCCCTATGGGGCCACGAAACGTGTGAGGGGTGTGCCGAAATGGGCGCGGCGCCGCCATGCGAACGCAGCCACTGAGGCCTTCGGTGGAGCTGCTTATGGGGCCACAAAACGTGTGAGGGGTGTGCCGAAATGGGTGCGGCGCCGCCATGTGGATGCGGCCACTGGGGCCTTCGGTGGAGCTCCCGATGGGGCCACGAAGCGTGTGAGGGGTGTGCCGAAATGGGTACGGCGCCGCCATGTGGACGCAGCCACTGGGGCCTTCGGTGGAGCCCCCTATGGGGCCACGAAACGTGTGAGGGGTGTGCCGACATGGGTGCGGCGCCGCCATGTGGACGCGGCCACTGGTGCCTTCGGTGGAGCCCCCTATGGGGCCACGAAACGTGTGAGGGGTGTGCCGAAATGGGTGCGGCGCCGCCATGTGGATGCGGCCACTGGGGCCTTCGGTGGAGCTCCCTATGGGGCCACGAAGCGTGTGAGGTGTGTGCAGAAATGGGTGCGGCGCCGCCATGTGGACGCGGTCACTGGCAGCCACTGGGGCCTTCGGTGGAGTTCCCTATGGGGCCACGAAACGTGTGAGGGGTGGGAAGAGGGATGAGGGAGGAGGCGGAGGAGGAGGAAGGAAGGAGAGGAGAGGAGACGCGGGGCACCGTCTCCTCAAAACGAGGACCCAACACCACAGGATGGTTGGGAATAAAAAGCAACTAGGTCTAGAGCCCCGACCGCAACGCGGAAAAGCGTCCCGCGCGCAGGAGTTCCGAGGATGTCTCGCGCGTGCCGCGTCCCGCGCGCAGAAATTTGGAGGATGTCTCGACTAATTCGCTTGTTTTTGTTCCAGGATTTCCTCGGCCACACAGGGAGTATCTAAATTGTTTTGCTTCAGCATGAAAATGTTGAGTTTTTGCGTGCCCGCTCGAGGATGGTGCGCCTCCACGCCAAAACATAGAGGATGTCTCTAGCGAAACGCTTGTTTTGCAAAACTTGAGGGGCCTGGGCGCTCCAGCATGCCCCAGGAGGCCCTGGGAGCGCGGACGCGGCGTAATCTACGAGGGATCGTGGCGTTTGGAGCGCGGACCATGCGTAATTTGGGAGGGATCGTGGCCCTCGGAGGGGTCGGGGCCTTGGGAGCTCGGACGCAATATAATGTTCGTAGCCCGTGGAGCGCGGGCGCAGCGGAAAATACTAAGGATCGGGGCCTTGGGGGCTCGGACGCAGCGTGATTTACGATGGATCGTGGCCCTGGGAGCACGGACGCAGCGTAATTTACAAGGGGTCGGGGCCCTGTGAGCGCGACCCCAATGTAATTTACGAGTGATCGTGGCCCTGGGAGCGCGGACGCAGCGTAATTTACAAGGGATCGTGGCCCTGGGAGCGCGTCCCGTGGCACGTCCGTTGGCACGTTCTGTAGCGCGTCCCCTCGGCACTTCCCGCGGTGCGTCTTCGTGGCACGTCCGTTGGCACGTCGCCTGGCGCGTCCCTTGGGACGTTCCGCGGCGCGTCCTCCTGGCAGGTTCCCCTGTCAATTAGCTCTGGGGCAGCTCCTGTGTGCTGAGGTAGCTCGAGCTTAAGATCCAGATCAGTTCGGTCAGGACTCGGATGCAAAGGAGGACTCGATCCACAACGCTATAGAGCACAATCGCGGCATGGCACATCGCAGTTCAGCACGGCGCAGCACAGCACAGCTCTCGGCACGGTACATCAAGATCGATACACTCAGCATTGCGTTTGCCCGTCGCCCAATCAGGTGTCTTTGAAACGTTGCCATGCCTTACATGTTCATATTCCTTTCCGGGTTCGTGGGTCGATCATGTTCATAATCTCTCTCTCTCTCTCTCTATCGATCTCGGTCTCCCTCACTCGTTAATTCGTTCTCTCTCCCCCATTGTCTTTCTTTATCTCTCTCTCTCTCTCTCTCTCTTTCTTTTGTGTTCTCTCTCTTTCTCTCTCTCTCTCTTTTTCTCTCTCTTTCTTTCTCTCTCTCTCTCTCTCTCTCTATATATATATATAAGCATAAGTGCACATGTATATTGGACCGTTCCTCATCCAAGGTCGACCCCCAGACCCCAGACCTTGCCTAGGGTCCGCAATCCTCAAGCCTCGACGATCTCTCTAACCGTCTCTCCCTCCCTCTCTCCCTCTTCCCCGGACCTCCGACGTCTCGTTTTCCCGTGCGGGGCCCCCTGAAGTTCCGACTCTTTCCCTGGGGCCGGTAGTTTTTTGGCGCTCCAGGGGCCTGGCAGCGGCCTCCCGGCGCCAGATCTGCCGGGACATATCCGCATATGCTTAAGTCGGGATTCAAGAATAGTAGAAAAATAGTTTGGCGATAATTTGTCGTGCTTGTGGGAGCTGTTTTGTCTGGACGATTGCTTGACTTAAAACTTGTTGGAGTGTTTCCCAACTATCCTGTGGTGTTGGGTCCTCTTTTTGAAGAGACAGCGCCCCGCATCCTCATTTCTCTCCTCTACCTCCTCCCTCCCACCATCATCGTCATCATCATCATCATCAGCATCATCATCATCATCATCATCATCATCAGTATCATCATCGTCATCATCACCGTGATCGTCGTCGTCCTCATCATCATCACCATCATCATCGTCAATATCATCCTCATCACCATCATCATCGCCATCATCGAAACCATCATCGTCATCAGCTTCGGCACACCCCTCACACGTTCCGCGGCCCCATAGGGAGCTCCACTGAAGGCCCCAGTGCCGCCGCCCGCTTGCGTCCCGCACACCCAAATCGGCACACCCCTCACACGTTTCGCGGCCCCATAGGGAGCTCCACCGAAGGCCCCAGTGCCGCCGCCCGCATGCGTCCCGCTCACCCAATTCGGCACACCCCTCACACGCTTCGTGGCCCCATAGGGAGCTCCATCAAAGGCCCCAGTGCTGCCGCCCGCATGCGCCCCGCTCACCCAACTCGGCACACCTCTCACACGCTTCGTGGCCCCATAGGGAGCTCCATCAAAGGCCCCAGTGCTGCCGCCCGCATGCGTCCCGCACACCCAACTCGGCCACCGAAGGCCCCAGTGCCGCCGCCCGCATGCGTCCCGCACACCCAAATCGGCACACCCCTCGCACGCTTCGTGGCCCCATGGGGAGCTAGTTGCACCGAAGGCCCCAGTGCCGCCGCCCGCATGCGTCCCGCACCCCCAATTCGGGCTTGCGGAAGCAGCTGGAGCAGTTTGCGGCGCGCACGAAGCGGTGCAGGAGGGAAGCAACGGTTTTCGCCAGGGAGCTCGGTTTCACAGAGTTTATCCGCCAGGGCTGACCTGAGGAGCGGCCCGCCCCAGCCGCGCGCGTCGCTGAGACCCTCTCCGGGCGACCAGCGCGCGTCGCGCGAACTCCGCGCTGCGCTCTGCCCAGCGCCTCGCTCGCCCGTCGTCGCTCCGCCCGCCCAGCAACCAAAACCATGCGCGCTATCAGTTAGCCTGCAAGCACTCTTCTGCTCCGCATAGCGGACGAACTGCGCGCGTCACTGCGACCCTTTCGTGGCGACCTGCGCGCGTCGCGGGGGCTCCGCGTAGCGCGGCGCCCGTAGCCTTGAACTTCGGAGTGCTCGGGCAAAGAGGAAGGACAAGAAGGGGAGGAAGCGGGCGCGATCCTCGTGTGGGGCGTGCCGACATGGGCGTCGCGGCGCGCGGGCGCTGCCGTCGGGGTTCCCAGGAAACGCCTTGCGGAAGCTACGCTCAGCGTCGCGAGTTTTCAGAACCAGGCAGACCCAAACCATTCACAGTCGCGTACATTTACACTAGGCGACTCCACGCTCGCACTCATCCAAATAGAATCAATCGCACGCATACTCATTCAGAATCAGACTCGCTCGTGTTTAGATTAGCCCGCGCTCAAACTTTCATACTCAGACCTATCGTTTTCGTTCGTGTTGTGTACCCCATCACACCATTCGGCACCCCCCATCATACGGTTCGCGACCCCATAGGGAGCGCCACCGAAGAATATATTCACAACTGTGGTACTCACAGCTGCGCATGATTGGGTCCTTCGCCGGGCTAATTCCCGGAAAGGGCATAAGCCCAGGGTTCTCTTTTAGATGGTTTCCCCCCGGGTTTGACGGGAAGAGGGCCGGCGAATTTCTTTTGCGATAAATAACGAGTGGGAAGAGGGCCGGCGAATTAAATTTTGAGGATGTCTCGAGCGAAACGCTTGTTTTTCAAAATTTGTTGAGGATGTCTCGAGCGAGACGCTGGTTTTGCAGAGTTGGGGATGTCTCGAGCGAAACGCTTGGTTTCAGAATTTGTTGAGGATGTCTCGAGCGACGCGCTGGTTTTGCAGAGCCGACCGCGACACGGAAAAGCGCCCCTCGCGCAGGAATTTCTGAGGATGTCTCGCGCGTGCCGCGTCCCGCGCGCGGGTATTTGGATTTCTTTGGATTTTGACAGGATGTCTCGAGCGAAACGCTTGTTTTTCATAATTTGTTGAGGATGTCTCGAGCGAAACGCTGGTTTTGCAAAATTGGAGGATGTCTCGAGCGGTGGCCTCGTGGGGGGCCAGAATTCAAAGGATGTCTCAGGCGAAATGCTTGTTTTCACGTCCCGCTCGCAGGAATTCCGAGGATGTCTCGCGCGTGCAGCGTCCCGCGCGTAGGAATTCAGATGATTTTGACAGGATGTCTCGAGCGAAACGCTTGTCCCCAGCACGTTCCGTAGCGCGTCCCCTTGGCAGGTCCCGCGATGCGTCCCCATGGCACGTCCCTTGGCACGTCGCTTGGCGCGTCCCTTGAGACGTTCTGCGTCGCGTCCTCCTGGCATGTTCCCCTGTCCATTAGCTCTGGGGCAGCTACTATGTGTTCAGGCAGCTCGAGCTTAAGATCCAGATCAGTTCGGTCAGGACTCGGATGCAAAGGAGGACTCGATCCACGAGGCTATAGAGCACAATCGCGCCATGGCACATCGCAATTCAGCACGGCGCAGCACAGCACTGATTTCGGCACGGTACATCAAGGTCGATGCACTCAGCATTGCAACTTGGCACGTTCCTTGGCACGTTCCGTGGGGCGTCCTTTGGCGAGTCCCCCTGGCACGTCGCGTCGCGCGTCCCCTGGCACATCCCGTGGCACATCCATTGGCACGTTCCGTAGCGCGTCCCCTTGGCACGTCCCGCGGTGCGACCCCATGGCACGTCCCCTGGCACGTCGCCTGGCGCATCCCTTGGGACGTTTCGCGGCGCGTCCTCCTGGCATGTTCCCCTGTCCATTAGCTCTGGGGCAGCTACTATGTGTTCAGGCAGCTCGAGCTTAAGATCCAGATCAGTTCGGTCAGGACTCGGATGCAAAGGAGGACTCGATCCACGAGGCTATAGAGCACAGTCGCGCCATGGCACATCGCAATTCAGCACGGCGCAGCACAGCACAGCCCTCGGCAGGGTACATCAAGATCGATACCTTCAGTATTGCATTTGCCCGTCACCCAATCAGGTGTCTTTGAAAACGCTGCCATGTGTTACAGTTCTACATTCCTTTCCGGGTTCGTGGGTCGATCATGTTTTTCTGGACGACTGCTTGAGTTGAGTTTCTTTCCAGCATCCGCCTGTAGGAGGACTTTCCCGACCTTAGTATGTGCTGGTTTGCAGCACCAGGCCCCCAGCTCAGCACGCCCACACTCGCGCGCGGGCAGGTCGCGGCTGCCCTGGCCGAGCTGGCGGAGGCGACGCCGCTCATGGCGTGGGAGGCGCCGCCGGCTGGCGGCCGCGTGCGTCCCGCCGCCGTCGACGCGCGGCCGCCAGCCGCGACCCTCCCAGCGTGAAGTCGGGCATGTCCCTCTACAGAATGACTATTCAAGAATAGTCCACAAATAAGGTGGGCACGATTTTTCGACTATGTTTGATCATGTTTGCATATTGTTTGAAAATGTTCATGTTTCTTCCAACGTCCGCTTGTAGGACGACATGCCCGACCAAATCCCAGCCCAGACCTCCTGCGACGTCGTGGTTGTTTCAATCCTGGCGGCTCTCTTTTGGTCTCTGTTTTCCGAGGGCAGGCCACCCGGATGGGGTCCGAGTAGACGTGGTCGGAGGATCGCGCCGCATCGTGGATGCATCGCCGATGCGGCTCGATGTGGAGCCCGACTTTCCCCGTGCTGTCGTCGCCGATACACCGCTGGCGTCGTCCTTGCATCGCCGATGCATCGCCGATGCGGCGCGATTCTCCGACCTTATTGACAGTGGTGACCCATGCCAAGAAGCACCTGCTTGCCTCCAGGGTGGCTTGGGTTTCTTGGGCTTCGCTGTTTTTTCGATGGAAGGCGTGACGCTCCCACACCATCAGTCCGTGGACGTCCTGGGGTCTCAGGGTCGGGTTTCTTGTGGGAGGTTCTTGTGGACGGGCCTCCACTCTACGCGGACCCCGTCTTAGGAGGCCCCTTTATTCGGAGGTTGATAGACCTCCTACCCTGACACGTCGATTAACGAATTGGCCGTTCTCGGCTCGCGGGAGGGCGTCGCGGCCGTCATTTTTGCGGGGTCCAGGTCCGTCGTTTTCGGTCCTAGGCCGTTTTCACTAAAGGGTGGTTTACTACAGGGAGGTTTGTCCAACGCCGATTGAGGCCCGCTTCGAAGCTCGCTGCCATCACGCGCAGATACGGTGCAGCGCAGCGGGGGGGCCTGGGGCCGCGGACCGGACGGACAAAACAGAGTGTCGCGAGCTGTCTGCGGGCGGAGAGGGCGAGAAGGTTCGAAAGGTCCGATTGTCCTGGTGAGCGTTCTCTTATATTCGGCGTTTCGACACTGGGCGGAAGTCGGGCTTGTCCCTCTACAGGAGGAATATCCAAAAATAGTCCAGAAATAGTCTGGGACCATTTTGTTAAATATTTGTGTGTGTTCACCATTTTCGAGTATTTGTTGGGTATTTTTAATTTTCCGTAGAAAATCCTCTGTAGGGGGCGGGGGCAGGCCCGACTTAACACTGGGCGAAGGGGGGGGGAGGGGGGGGAGGCCTGGCTCCGGACCGCTGCTTCGCGCGATTGTTCTTCCCCACATGCTTCGTGGGGTTATGGTTTTCTTCCCTGCCGCGCCGCACCCGCGTTCACCTTCACCTCCTCCCTCATCCCCTTCTCACACAGCGCAGCACAGCACAGCACAGCACAGCACAGCACAGCACTGCTCAGCACAACTCAGCACAGCTCAGCTTAGCTCAGCACAGCACAGCACAGCTCAGCTCAGCTCAGCACAGCACAGCACAGCTCAGCTCGGCACAGCACAGCACAGCTCAGCACAGCAGAGCACGTGGGGCTAGCGCGCAGGGCACGGCAGGCGTGATCGCATCGCACCACACACACACACACACACACGCACACACACACACACACACACACACGTCGGAGAGCGTGGCAGGCCCCACATAGAGGGGCACGTGGCAGGCGCGGCAGTTTCTCGACACCAGAGGGGGCGCGGAAAGGGTGGTCTCTCAACGCGGCCTCTATGCGTGCCAGGGTCGGAGAGCGTGGCAGGCGTTGTACTTTCTCGACACCATAGTGGGTGCGCAAGGTGTGGTTCCCAAGCGCGGCCGCTATGCACGACGGTCGTCCAGGGCATAGCAGGCGTGGCATTTTCTCGACACCATCGGGGGTGCGCAGGGGGTGGTCCCTGAGCGCGGCCGCTATGCGCGCCGAGCGTCCAGGGCATAGTAGGCGTGGCATTTGCTCGACACCAGAGGGGATGCGCAGGGGGTGGTCCCTCACCGTGGCCGCTATGCGCGCCGTTCGTCCAGTGCATAGCAGGCGTGGCATTTTCTCGACACCATAGGGGGTGCGCAGGGGGTGGTCCCTCACCGCGACCGCTATGCTCGACGGTCGTCCAGGGCATTTTCTCGACACCATTGGGGGTGCGCAGGGGGTGGTCCCTCAGCGCGGCCACTATGCACGACGGTCGTCCAGTGCATAGCAGGCGCGGCATTTCCTCGACACCATAGGGGATGCGCAGGGGGTGGTCCCTCACCGCGGCCGCTATGCACGACGGTCGTTCAGGGCATAGCAGGCGTGGCATTTTCTCGACACCAGAGGGGATGCGCAGGGGGTTGTCCCTCAGCGCGGCCGCTATGCACGACGGTCGTCCAGGGCATAGCAGGCGTGGCATTTTCTCGACACCATAGGGAATGCGCAGGGGGTGGTCCCTCACCGTGGCCGCTATGTGCGCCGGTTGTCCAGGGCATAGCAGGCGTGGCACTTTCTCGACACCATAGGGGGTGCGCAGGGGGTGGTCCCTCACCGCGGCCGCTATGCACGACGGTCGTCCAGGGCGTAGCAGGGGGTGCGCTGGGGGTGCGCTGGGGGTGCGGTCGCTATCCGTTCCGGGCTCGCAGAGCGTGGCAGGCGTGACACTTCTTCGTTGCCACAAAGGGGGTGCGCTGGGGGTACGGTCGCGATCCGTTTCGGGCTCGCAAGGCGTGGCAGGCACGGTACTTTCTCGATGCCACAGGGGGTGCGCCAGGGGTGCGGTCGATATCCGTTTCGGCTTCGGAAAGCGTGGCGCGTGGCACTTTCTCGACGCCACAAGGGGGTGCCTTGGGGGTGCGGTCGCTATCTGTTTCGGGCTCGCAAAGTGTGGCTGGCGCGGCGCTTCTCCTCTTCCACCTCTTCTCTTGAGTGGCGTCACCAACGGTATCGGCGGGGCAACGGCCACCAACATCATTCTCACATGCTTCACTTCAGCTACCATCACTCCAGCCATAATATAAGTATGTGGGGTTCCTCTGTAGCGTAATTGCAGCAGTGCGTCCTAGGGGGGGAGATTCTCTACCTGCTCGAAGCGGGCGCCAGATGCAGCCAAGATCTACGCCTCATGGGGGGGGAAGGGGGAGGGGGGCGATGGCCCGCGCCGATGGGCACAACAAGACATGTGAAAGCGAGCACCTGGAGTGTCTGCTGTTAGCGTTGTCTCTGGCCCCGTGGCCGCGGCCAGACTGCCCCCAGAATTCTGGCCAAAACGCGTCGCAGAAGAGGTCAGGGGTCGGGTTTTGACATCCGCACAATCACGACTGAAGCGTTACGATCTCTGGTCGTTTTCGGCCCCCGAGACCCTCACCAGACTTTCGGGTTGTCAGCGAAAACTCTGAGGAGGAGAAAACAGTCCCATGGGGTCCAGACTTCTGGGTGCTCATTTGCACCAAAAAGTAAATGTGTTTTGTTGATGTGTTGATGTGTGCTCCGCATATCATAAGTATGGGCCTCCGCCGCACCCTCACTCCCGCCTCTTCCTTCCGGCTCGATCATACTCCGACCAGTTCATATTCAGTTTCACGCAAGTGCAGATCAGTCATGCGCAGATCCACGCATACTGACAGGCGAACACTTCGCGAAACAAAAGTTCTTGCATGACAAACGTCAACACAGGGCATCGCAGTGCATGCGCGTCGTGAGCGATCGAGTCCGAGCAGGTACATTAAGACACACGAGCCCCCGTTAGACGCACGGGGCCCCATGGGTTACGCCAGAGGCGCGATGGGGCGCGACCACCTTGGGGCTACATCTTCAGGTCCGTTCAGAGAGAGAGAGAGAGAGAAGCCGTGCACGTCAGAGGTGCATTGGCAAAAGGAGGTGAAAGAGCAGCGACCGGCGATGCGAAGCCTCCAGTGTCGTTGGCTCCATGCACAGGGAAGGCTCACCAATCTCGTCATGCATATCCACTCGCCAAAATTGCCCGCAAGGTGGACGACCCGGGAGGCAACCGCAGCAGGCTACAAGTCCGTTAAGGTCCTTTATATATCGAAGACGCTTACGGCGAATCACCGCCGCCCCCTGCCTTTTTGGAAGCGCCTATGTGGCCGAACGTGGAGGCCAGACCTGCCAAGCTATCGGACCATGTGTTCCCCGAATCGGTTTGGAAAGCCTTCGGGGAATACGTGGGCATCTTGAAGGTCATCTTGGCCGTCTGGAGGCCATTTTGACCCTTTCGGGCCTTCTTGGAGGACGTCTTGGAGGGCTCTTGGGCCGTCTTGGAGGCCATCTTGAGCGTTTTGGAGGCCTCTTAGGCCGTCTTGGGGGCCTCTTGGGGCCGTCTTGGGCGATCTTTGTGGGCACTTGGGCCGTCTCGGGCCGTCGGAAGGCCGAAAAACAGCAAATGCCACAATCCTTCAAAAACTTTAGGGAAATCAATGATTTGGGCCTTTTGGGGGCCTTCCTGGAGGCCTCAGGGAGGCCTCTTGGGCCGTCTTGGGCCATCTTAAGGCCATCTTCGGCCGTCTTCGTGGGCTCCTGGCACGTCTGACGCCGTCGGGAGCCGTCTTGGGTGCCTCTCTGAGCCGACTTGGGGCCCTCTTGGGGGCCATCTTGGGCGTCTTGGGGGCCATCTTGGGCGTGTTGGAGGCCTCTGGGGCCGTCTTGGGGCGCTCTTGGGGCCGTCTTGGAGGCCATTTGGGCCGTCATGGGGCCCTTTTGGGTGCCCCTTGGACGATCTTGTGGGCCTCTTGGGCCGTCTTGGGCCATCGGAAAACCGAAAAGGCGCAAATACATTGTTTTGTCAAAAACCTAAGGAAAATCAATGATTTTGGCCTCTTCGGGCCTTCCTGGAGGAAATCTTGGAGGCCTCTTGGGCCGTCTTGGAGGCCTCTTAGGAGCCTCTTGGGCCGTTTTGGGCCATCTTAAGGTCATCTTAGTGCGTCTTGGATGCACCTTGAGCCGTCTTGGAGGCATCTTGGGGCCATCTTAGCCGTCTTGGAGGCCATCTTGGCCCTCTTGGAGGCGTCTTGGAGGCCATCTTCGACGATCTTGGGGACCGTCTGGAACGGAAAAACCCTTTGCAACCACCTCTGGAAGATCTTTCGGCATCCTCCCGGGACCCCGGCGGGACGCGCCGGAGCCCAATGGGAGAGTTCTTTTGGGAAAGAACCAAAACCAGAATCGTAAGAAGTTCAGCACGCCAGGCACCCCTGTCATGAATCAACAGGGGGCGGCGGATCCAGCTGCCTGCGGCAAGTCCCGCCACCGTGCCAGCCCACTCGCAGACGCTTTCCCAGAGGCCAGCCTCTCCTCCCGAGGTGGCTTCTTGACGGCCTCTGGGCTCGGCCAAAACGCCCGCGCCGGCCAGCAGCTGCGCGCCGAGTTCCACATACAGTCCGAGATTTGGAACACCCAGGCGATGCTGGCGGCTTCCACCGGCAGAGGACCCCTGCGCCGCGCCGCGCCCCGGCTGGCTTTCTCTCGTCGCGAGGAGATCGAGGCGTCATCCAGGATCCGAGCCCTCCTTTTTGACGCTGCGCGGACTCAATGCGGACACATGGTTCCGAGCCCTCTTCCTCCTCCTCCTCCTCCGCCTCCTCGCTCCTCCTCCTCTTCCTCAGCCTCCTCTTCCTCCTCCTCCTCCTCCACCTCTTCCTCCTCCTCCTCCTTCTCACGTCGCGGGAGGACCGAAGTTTCGGCATTGAGAGAACGCCCACCCAGACGAGCCGAGCGAGGACATTTGCACAGCTTCGCCCGGCGTGGGCGCGCGAGTGCAATTTTACCGGTGCGGTGCCCCTTCGGTGCCGCTCTTCGACGTGCGTCTCGCCAGATGCACTCGGTTGCTTGTGGGCGTCGGCTCTTCGCAATACGGTTGCCCCGATTATAGGGGAACAAAAAGTGACATTACCCTGTGACGTACCCAACCCATTTGTATCAATGGAATCGAGGAATTGGCCGAAACTTGTATGGACAATCAACTTGACGTGTAAGCTACTTGGGAGGCGTCACTGTGCTGGGCCCCGCAAGCAGGCCTCGAAAATGGCGACAGTTTCACAGATCGCAGCCCCCCAGGGATGGCGAGGTCTAATTTGAATCTGCGTGTGGCGTCACTGTGCTGGGCCCCCCAGCAGGCCTCGAAAGTGGCGACAGTTTCACAGATCGCAGCCCCCCAGGGATGGCGAGGTCTAATTTGAATCTGCGTGTGGGTACCCACTGTGCTGGGCCCCCCAGCAGGCCTCGAAAGTGGCGACAGTTTCACAGATCGCAGCCCCCCAGGGATGGCGAGGTCTAATTTGAATCTGCGGTGGGTCACTGTGCTGGGCCCCCCAGCAGGCCTCGAAAGTGGCGACAGTTTCACAGATCGCAGCCCCCCAGGGATGGCGAGGTCTAATTTGAATCTGCGGTGGGTACCCACTGTGCTGGGCCCCCCAGCAGGCCTCGAAAGTGGCGACAGTTTCACAGATCGCAGCCCCCCAGGGATGGCGAGGTCTAATTTGAATCTGCGGTGGGTACCCACTGTGCTGGGCCCCCCAGCAGGCCTCGAAAGTGGCGACAGTTTCACAGATCGCAGCCCCCCAGGGATGGCGAGGTCTAATTTGAATCTGCGTGGGTACCCACTGTGCTGGGCCCCCCAGCAGGCCTCGAAAGTGGCGACAGTTTCACAGATCGCAGCCCCCCAGGGATGGCGAGGTCTAATTTGAATTTGCGTGTGGTACCCACTGTGCTGGGCCCCTCAGCAGCCCTCGAAAATGGCGACTGGTTCACAGATCGCTGCCCCCCAGGGATGGCGAGGTCTAATTTGAATTTGCGGTGGGTACCCACTGTGCTGGGCCCCTCAGCAGGCCTCGAAAATGGCGACAGTTTCACAGATCGCAGCCCCCCAAGGACGGCGAGGTCTAATTTGAATCTGCGGTGGGTACCCACTGCGTTGGGCCCCCCAGCAGGCCGCGAAAGTGGCGACAGTCACAGATCGCAGCCCCCCCCCCCAGGGATGGCGAGGTCTCATTTGAGTCCGCCGTTGATACCCACTGTGCTGGCCCCCCCAGCAGGCCTCGAAAGTGGCGACAGTTTCACAGATCGCAGCCCCCCAGGGATGGCGAGGTCTACTTTAAATCTGCGGTGGGTACCCACTGTGCTGGGCCCCCCCTGCAGTCCTCGGAAGTGGTGACAGTTTCACAGATCGCAGCCCCCCAGGGATGGCGAGGTCCCATTTGAGTCCGCCGTGGGTACCCACTGTGCTGGGCCCCCCAGCAGGCCTCGAAAGTGGCGACAGTTTCACAGGTCGCAGCCCCCCAGGGATGGCGAGGTCACATTTCAGTCCGCCGTGGGTACCCATTGTGCTGGGTCCCCCAGCAGCCTTCGAAAGTGGCGACAGTTTCACAGATTGCAGCCCCCCAGGGATGGCGAGGTCCCATTTGAGTCCGCCGTGGGTACCTACTCTGCTGGGCCCCCCAGCAAGTCGCGAAAGTGGCGACAGTTTCACAGATCGCAGCCCCCCAGGGATGGCGAGGTCTAATTTGAATCCGCCGTGGGTCACTGTGCTGGGCCCCCCAGCAGGCCTCGAAAGTGGCGACAGTTTCACAGATCGCAGCCCCCCAGGGATGGCGAGGTCCCATTTGAGTCCGCCGTGGGTCCACTGTGCTGGGCCCCCCAGCAGGCCTCGAAAGTGGCGACAGTTTCACAGATCGCAGCCCCCCAGGGATGGCGAGGTCCAATTTCAATCCGCCGTGTGTACCCACTGTGCTGGGCCCCCCAGCAGGCCTCGAAAGTGGCGACAGTTTCACAGATCGCAGCCCCCCAGGGATGGCGAGGTCCCATTTGAGTCCGCCGTGTGTACCCACTGTGCTGGGCCCCCCAGCAGGCCTCGAAAGTGGCGACAGTTTCACAGATCGCAGCCCCCAGGGATGGCGAGGTCCAGTTTCAATCCGCCGTGTGTACCCACTGTGCTGGGCCCCCCAGCAGGCTTCGAAAGTGGCGACAGTTTCACAGATCGCAGCCCCCCAGGGACGGCGAGGTGCAATTTCAATCCGCCGTGTGTACCCACTGCGCTGGGCCCCCCAGCAGGCCTCGAAAGTGGCGACAGTTTCACAGGTCGCAGCCCCCTAGGGACGGCGAGGTGCAATTTCAATCCGCCGTGTGTACCCACTGTGCTGGGCCCCCCAGCAGGCCTCGAAAATGGCAGCAGTTTCACAGATCGCAGCCCCCCAGGGATGACGAGGTGCAGTTTCAATCCGCCGTGTGTACCCGCTGTGCTGGGCCCCCCAGCAGGCCTCGAAAGTGGCGACAGTTTCACAGATCGCAGCCCCCCAGGGATGGCGAGGCGCAGTTTCAATCCGCCGTGTGTACCCACTGTGCTGGGCCCCCCAGCAGGCCTCGAAGATGGCGACAGTTTCACAGATCGCAACCCCCAAGGGATGGCGAGGTGCAATCGAGGACGCCGGCGGCGCATCACCGGCCGCTCGCTGGGAGTTTTTCGAAGAGGTGCGCAGCATCGAAAGTCGTGACGCGGCGCGTATGCCAGCTATCAAATAGCCGTCGCCCCGTCCCGCCACCGTGCTTGGGTTTTGGGTCGGACGGAGTCCTCATGGACGCTTCCTGGGGTCTCTCGAGAGGGCTCTCGGAGGCTTCTGCGGGGCAGTTTAGGGGCCTCTTGGGGGCGTCCCAGGGGCTTCTTGGAGACCTCTTGAGGCCCTCTTGGGGCCTGTTGGGGCTCTCTTGGGGTTTGTTGGGGGCCTCCAGGGGGCCTCTTAGGGTCTCCTGGGGGCCTCTCGAGCCGAAAGCTCGACATGTTCATTCGGGTACCCCTTCTGGGCCTCCTCTTGGGGCCATCCTGGGACCCCTCTTCGGCCGTTCCGGGGGCCTCTTGGGCGGTCTTGGGGCCCTCTTGGGCAGTCTTGGGGCCGTCTTGGGGGCCTGTTGGGCCGTCCTGGGGCGATCTGGGGGGCCTCTTGGGCCGTCGTGGAGCGTGGGTAAGCCGAAATGGCGTGAACGTGTAAATCCTTCAAAAACCATTGAAAAATCAATGATTTTTGCTTCTCGGGGCTGTCTTGGGGGTGCTCTTGGAGCCCTCTTGGGCCGTCTTGGAGGCGTCTTGGGCCGTCTGGAGGCCATCTTAGGCGTCTTGGAGCGATCTGGAACCGTCTGGAGGCTCGCTTGGGCCGTCTTGGGGCTCTCTTGGCCCGTTTTAGGGCGCTCTTGAATCGCCCCCGGGCGCCGGAACTGTTCAGGGAGGGGGGGTCCGCCTGCAGAGTGGGGCCCCCTCGGAGGGACTTTCAGGAGGGCTTTGACCAGCCACTGGCGAAGGAAGGGGAAAGATAGTGCCGAACACTTTGTCAGAGAGGTCTCGCACGGCCCAACCCGCAGGGCGGGAACCCCCAAGGGATGGCGAGGTGCAATTTCAATCCGCCGTGTGTACCCACTGTGCTGGGCCCCCCAGCAGGCCTCGAAAGTGGCGACAGTTTCACAGATCGCAGCCCCCTAGGGATGGCGAGGTGCAATTTCAATCCGCCGTGTGTACCCACTGTGCTGGGCCCCCCAGCAGGCCTCGAAAGTGGCGACAGTTTCACAGATCGCAGCCCCCCAGCTGGCACGCAGCGACGAGCGAAGGCAGGGGGGAAGAGAGGGACGGGAGGGGGCGGGAAGGAAGGAAGTAAGGAAGGAGACGCGCGAGCAGTGCTCTATTCAAAACGAGAACCCAACGCAGGAGGGTTGGGAATAAACATAAATACTCTGAGGTCCGCGCGGATTTCTCGGATCGGCGCTGGGGCCCCCCGGCGGCGCCTCCGGCGCCGCCCTTGGCGCGCTCCGCGCGCCAGGGAGGGAGGTCCAGCGCCGATCCGAGAAATCCGCGCGGACCTCAGAGATTTTATGTTTATGCCATTTTTTGTTCCCCTAGATTAGCCACACGCTGGAGCGGATTGCCTCTGCCTCGCCGCCGACGAAAAGTTGTGGACGTCGGCCAGTGATTTCGCCCAGGTGTACTGGGAATGCGTTGCCGCGCGCACCCGTGAAGTGCCCCAGCAGATTTCTCTAGAGGGCGACTTGCTGGAGGGTGTTCTGTCAATCCTCGAGAGGAGGGAGGGGACGAACAGAGTGGGGAGGAGCGCCGACAGCAGCTCCTGCCCCCTCTGAGTAGGGCTCGTGGCCGTTGTCGACGCGGACGTTGCTCATTTGGGATAGGTGGTGCCTGCCCAACAGCGGCTGCTGTTTGTTGGTTTGGGACAGCGCTATTTGTTGGGCATCCTCCCCGTTGCCATCTGTTTCGTCCCAACATGAGGCGTCCAAACTGTATCTTCAGAGAGCCAATGAGTAGCCCGTCCGACTTGCAGACCTAGCAGGACGGCTTGAAACAAAGATTAGAAGTCAAGTTCACAGATCTATCCTTCGTGGAAGGTGCGGGATCGCCCAAACTAAGAAACTGCACTAACAGACGGCATCGGAGGTC